CGCTGTATGCTCTCTTAGAAATAGCAGTTTGTAGAAATGAATAAAAACTAACTTGTGCATGTGCTCATATATATATATATATAGATATAGCTAGTTGCTTTGCTTTTCTGTTTTAGAATCATCACTAAAAGCAGTTGAAGAATATTTACGTGATCCAGATTTTAATCCCGATGCTATTCGGCGTGTTTCCTTGGCAGCTTCTGGTCTATGTGCATGGGCTATCAATATAGTTCAATATTATCGTGTCTACTGTGAAGTCGAACCGAAACGCTTGGCAGCTGAACAAGCAACTGAAGAATTAAGACAAACAGAAGAACAATTCAATGCAACACAAGCTAAATTAGCTGTACGTATATCAAATAAATTATTTTCTTTGTTTTGTTTCTATTGATGAGAATTTTCTAGAGACTACAAGCAGCATTACAAGCACTTAAAGATCAATATGAAGCAGCACAAAATGAAAAAGATGAATGTCAACGAGCAGCCGATCAAACAACGTATACCATCAACTTAGCTAATCGTCTTGTTGGTGGTCTTGCATCCGAAAAAGAACGATGGACCAATACAATACAACAATTTCAAATACTTGGCAAATTTCTACCAGGAAACGTTCTTATCACAACAGCTTATCTTTCATATGTTGGCTATTTTACGAAATATTATCGTGAAGAACTTTTATATCGACGTTGGATGCCATATTTGAAAAATTTGAAAGTACCAATTCCAGTAACAGACAATCTTGATCCTTTATCAATGTTAATTGATGATGCAGATATGGCTGCATGGAACAATGAAGGTTTACCAGCAGATCGAATGTCATACGAAAATGCAACAATTTTGACTAATTGTGAACGATGGTATGTCTAAAAAGGTTCTATACGAGCAGCAGAACTATTTCATTGATGCATTTGTTTTCTTTCATGACTTATCGCGGTTTTTAACTGAATTATTGCTTGTTTTTTAGGCCCTTAATGATTGATCCACAACTTCAAGGTAAATTTATCCTATGGATTTAGTTCTTGTTTTTTTTTTATCTATTTATTATTTTATTTAGGTGTTAAATGGATTCGTACACGTTATGGTGAAAAATTGGTTGTTATCCGTTTGGGTGCTAAAGGTTATATGGAAAAACTTGAACATGCTATTTCTGCTGGTGAAACATTACTTCTTGAAAATATCGAAGAAAATATTGAAGCTATTCTTGATCCATTAATTGGTCGTAATACAATTCGAAAAGGTCGTGCTATTAAATTAGGCGATAAAGAAATTGAATATCATCCAGAATTTCGTCTAATTATACAAACAAAATTAGCTAATCCACATTATAAACCTGAAATGCAAGCTCAAACAACGTTAATTAATTTTACAGTTACACGCGATGGTCTTGAAGATCAATTATTAGCTGATGTTGTTGCACTCGAAAGACCTGATTTAGAAAAGTCGAAATATGAATTGACGCGACAGAAAAACGAATATAAAATAAGTTTGAAGAAACTTGAAGATTCTTTATTGCAACGTTTAGCAGCAGCGAAAGGAAATTTTCTTAGTGACGTGGCTCTAGTTGAAAATTTAGAAAAAACAAAAATAACTGCGATTGAAATTGAACATAAGAAAAATGAAGCTGAAAAAACTAGTGAACAAATTGATAAAACACGAGAAGTCTATCGACCTGCAGCAGCACGTGCCAGTTTACTCTATTTTATCATGAATGATTTAAGAAAAATTCATCCAATGTATCAATTTTCATTAAAAGGTAAAATTATTATAAATGAAATAACAAAACTTGAAAATATTATCTTTCAGCATTCAAAATTGTATTTGCAAAAGCAAGTCAAAAATCAGAAGAAAGCGATGATGTTAAACAACGTGTACTTAATTTAATTGATTCAATAACTTATTCAACATCACTTTATACAACACGATCTTTATTCGAGCAACATAAACTGATATTTACATCTCAAATGGTTTTTCAAATCCTATTGACAAATAAAGAAATTGATTTGAAAGAATTAGAATTTCTTTTACGATATCCATATGTACCCAATTTAGTCAGTCCAGTTGACTTTTTAAATGAGCAATCCTGGGGTGGAGTGAAAGCATTGTCGAATATGGAAGAATTTCATAATCTCGATCGAGATATTGAAGGTAAATCATATTTTTATTTTTACTTTGTTGAACGTGAAAAATATTGAGTGTCGTGTATGTTATTTAGGTTCGGCTAAACGATGGAAAAAATTCGTTGAAGCAGAAGCACCGGAAAAGGAGAAGTTTCCACAAGAATGGAAGAGTAAAACATCATTACAAAAATTATGTATTATGAGAGCTTTACGACCTGATCGAATGCTTTATGCATTAAGTTTATTTGTTGAAGAAAAACTCGGACGAAAATATGTGGAAAACCGAGCAATTGAATGTAAAAAAAACAAAAACATAAATTTCGCTTAGGAAAATAAAGTTAAAATGCATATTTTTTTCTATATTGTAGTGTCACGTTCATATGAAGAAACAACCAAAGCTACTCCAATATTTTTTATTCTTTCACCTGGTGTTGATCCACTTAAAGAAGTCGAAAGTCTTGCTCGAAAAATGGGTTTTACAACGGATAATGGCAAATTTCATAATATTTCACTAGGACAAGGTCTACTACTATTGTTTTTTTTATTCAACATTTTGAAACAAAAATAAATCGTTGCTTTAGGTCAAGATGTTGTCGCTGAAAAGGCACTTGACGATGGATCACGAGATGGACATTGGGTTGTTTTACAAAATATTCATTTAGTTGCTCGATGGTTACCACAATTAGAAAAGAAATTAGAACAAACAGCTGAATTTTCTAGAGAAGAATTTCGAGTTTTTCTTTCAGCTGAGCCAGCAGCAGATCCAGAAGGCCATGTAAATAAATATTGTTTTTTTTTAAACACTATTTTAGATGAATAATGTTTTATTCTAGTGTATTCCGCAAGGTATCCTCGAATCAGCTATTAAAATTACTAATGAAGCACCAACAGGTTTGCATAATAAATAGATTTGTACTTCAGAAGATATTTATGATAATTTTTTCTAAAGGAATGTATGCAAATTTTCATAAAGCATTGGATAATTTTGATCAAGACACAATGGAGCGTTGTTCAAAAGAAAACGAATTTAAATCAATTCTTTTTGCTCTTTGTTATTTTCATGCCGTTGTTGCTGAACGTCGTAAATTTGGACCCATCGGATGGAATAGGTTTGCGCTTTTTCTTTCTCACTATTGATTATTAACTAATTTGGTTTTTCTCTCTCGTTTTATTGTAGACGATATCCATTTAATAATGGAGATTTAACTATTAGTGTCGATGTCTTATACAATTATTTGGAAGCGAATTCAAAAGTTCCCTGGGAAGATCTTCGCTATTTATTTGGTGAAATTATGTATGGTGGTCATATTACTGATGATTGGGATCGTCGTTTATGTCGAAGTTATCTCGAAACATACATTAATCCAGATATGGTAAACAAAAAACAAAAACACACGTTTATTTATTTATGCTAAATATCCCTTTATTTAGTTTGATGGCGAATTATTTTTAGCACCATTATTTCCCATTCCGCCAAATAGCGACTATAAAGGTTATCATCAATATATCGATGAATATTTACCGGCCGAATCGCCGTCTCTATATGGTCTTCATTCAAATGCAGAAATTGATTTCTTAACAACAACAAGCGAAGCATTATTTAAAACAGTTTTAGAATTACAACCGCGTGATGCAGGTGCTGGCGCAGCCGAAGGTGGTTCAATAACTACTAGAGAAGAAAAAGTAAATTATAGAAAATGATAATAATAAGACAAAGAAAACGATTTTTATTTTTCTTAATTTAGATAAAATCTGTACTTGATGATATTACCGGTCGATTACCAGATGATTTTAATATGGCAGAATTATTTGCTAAAACAGAAGAAAAAACACCTTATACAGTTGTTGCCTTACAAGAATGTGAACGTATGAATGCGTTATTAAAAGAGATGCGACGTTCATTAAAAGAATTAGATTCAGGCTTGAAAGTAAGTTCATCATTCAAGATAATATGAGACTGAAGAGATAGTTTGAAATTCAAAATAGGGTGAATTGACTGTTACTGCTGATATGGAAGCATTACAAGAATCTCTCTATCTTGATCAAGTCCCAAAAACATGGGAACTTCGAGCATATCCATCCTTATTTCCACTTGGTACATGGTTTATTGATCTACTCAATCGATTTAAAGATCTTGAATCGTGGACAAGTGATTTTCAATTACCTTATGCTGTTACTTTAGGTAAACGAATATTTTTCATTTACAATAAAAAGAAAATGAAACAATTCTATTGCTCTTCTCTTAGGTTATCTTTTTAATCCTCAATCATTTTTAACTGCAATTATGCAAACAACAGCACGTAAAAATGAATGGCCTCTCGATCGTATGTGTTTATCTGTCGATATAACGAAACGAACAAAAGATGAACTTGGCGGAGCACCTCGTGAAGGTGCATATATATGGGGTCTTTATCTCGAAGGTGCTCGATGGGATACTCAAACATCTCAATTAGCTGAAGCGAAATTAAAAGAAATAACATCAGCAATGCCAGTTATATTTGTTAAAGCTATACCAATTGATCGTATGGATACAAAAGGAATGTATGAATGTCCAGTATATAAAATTAAAACACGTGGTGCTCACTTCGTCTGGACATTTTATCTTAAAACAAAAGAAAGACCAAGCAAATGGGTTCTTGGTGGTGTTGCTTTATTGTTACAAAAATAAAAACCAAAACGAAAAACAGCAAACATTTGACTCCTTTTTTTCTTGATTTTTGTTTGCCTTTTTCTTGCAATAATCATATTGTTTTATGTATATAATCAATTTCGCCTTTGATATTTGTCAAAAGTGAAAAAACAGTTGCCTTGGATTTTTTTAATATTAATATTAATAATAATAATAATAATAATAATAATAAATAGCTCTTTAAATAAATATTATTATATGGATGCAACTATGTCTAGATAACCAAGAAGACCATCTTTGTATTGATCAGCACCCTAAAGATAAAACATATATCACTGTGTGATTCAATAGATCTATGAAATAGAAATGTATTCTTTATCCTAGATTTTAGAAAAAAAAGAGGCTCACTTATTTATTGAAGTCTTTCATGATAACCTATTCGTTTTGATTAATACTAGAAGATCTACTTCGATTGATTTACAGTTACTTTTATCATTGTGATCTTATGGAGTCAACTACTCGATTTATTTGTAAAATACTTTTGCGTGCAGATTCGATACATCTCAATAAGATGATAAAAAATCTCAGAAAGATAACAATCACTAGATTTTGCCTAAAGAGTTGTATATATATATATTACGAAATTTTCAACAACAAATAATTCAGCGAGAGGCGCAACAGTTCGAATATTTTAGAAATTCAAGCACACTATGCACCATGCTAAAATTTAATTGAAACAGCTATCAATAATTCTGTAGCTAACGCTTACGGCCTTCTATCTGATCAGAATTTTTATCATCGCATGAATATGTATTTTATGCAGAGAGTCCAATCACAAAATGAAGTACTTTTCAAGTTGATAATACTTGCAATTTCACTGGTTAATCTGACTTCATACAAGTAAATCAAATAATTCTACGCTGACATCACACGAGAGAAAAAAAATCTGTTTTATTTACCTTATACTGAATCATTTCTGGTGGCCAATTTCTGACAGCACCAGCTAATTTTTTAGCCATCTTTGCATCATTCCGACAAAGATCTTCAATTTTCGTCATATATGTTTTAATTGTAAACAGAATCGTATCTGATTCGGGTAAACGTCTTAAAGTTTGTCTTTCACAACGAAGATACATTAATTGACCTGCATTTTCTTTCGTTATTGTTTCATTTTGATTATCTTCTATTTCTGTATGACAAAGATCATCACCAATTTGTACTAAATACAAATAAAACAATGAATACAATTAATAGATAACTCAATTAAAATATACAAGTCCAATTGACACGTTGTACAGGTTTCTCTTCTTTTAAATTAAGAAAATATCTCTCCATTGATGTTCGTAGTTTCTCTTGAAAAAATGGCACTTGTGGCATATGAATTGCTGCTAATGATGAACCGAATTTTGACTTTGGTAACCATCCAGACGGAAAGCAAACTGCTAAAGCCTAAAAATAAAACAAATATTTTTCCTTTTTCATACATATGTATCAATATGAAATAATATTGAATTACATTTGCATGATATATTTCTCCAGTTGGATCTCGTTGCATGATCACAAGATCTTCTTGTACGAGAAATGCAGCTATCTCTAATGGATGTAGATGAGCAGATTCGATTAAATTAAATGTTTGTTTAGTAATAAGATTCATTATTTTGGTTTTAGAATTATTCCTTTGAAACATATTTGGATATTTAAATGGAAGATATGCAATTAACATTTTCAATGTTTCCATTGAAGCAGCATATGCTTCATCTTTGTACACGAATAAATCATTTCGACGAGGACTATTTAGTAATCTTTGTTTAAGTTGAAGTTGTTGACGATAATTTGGGTCAATTTGAATCCATTCATGAGTAGACAACGATTGAAGACCTGTGATATAAAAGTAGGTTAATAATAAATATGATGTTCGCGATAGTATTTTTACCCATAGTCATTTGAAATGGCCCATCTTTAAATGGCCGATAAATAGGCATTGACATTTCTTCTGGTGTTTTTTCTAGGATTATAATTTACAGATAAATAAATAATCATGTATTTTCGTTGAAAGTATATTACCTAGATTTACCTGAGGCCTAGCTCGATCATTTGAGTCGGCTTTTAAAAAATTAAATAAAAAATAGATTGCTGTCAAAGCGATAGTAATATAAATAAGTGCAATCATTACAAATAACTAAGTTATGATAAAAAAAAACTTTTTTTTTATCGCATAAATGTATGCATAAAATATATACTGTCAGTATAACTTCACCCGTACTTATCGCACGCACACTCAAATGCAAGAAAAAGAACGGAATAAGAAAGACATACATAAAATTTATTATTTGCTTTTTAATCCAACCGCATCTCATTTGAAGTCGTTACGTACTAATGAAACGAGAAAAAAATCGAAAAGACATGCAATTCGATTCAATCGATGCTCTATTTTTTGCTATAGTTAATTATCTTATATGAGTCTTATTTTTGTAAATTTTTTCGTTCAAGTTGAAACCTACAAAAGTTGACTGGAACATGAAAACTACATTTTATCTATCGCAATTTAAAATGCATTTCTTCATGTATAAGATAACGATGGTAATTCTTCTCCCAGGCGCATTTTGAGAGAGACAACACGAACAATTAGATTGAATTGACGAGTTTTTAGTCTTCAGTAAGTATTTTCTTTGGATTCAACTAGAAGTCTTTCAATCTATTTGAAATCCTTCGTAGATTTTCAACAATCATAGTCATTGATGGTTGATAATTTGTCAAAAAAAAAAAGATCAATACTATAAACATTGAAGAGTAATATGAAAAATGTTTGTTCTTATCTTTCGTGCATCTTTTTATAGATATTTTTAGACACGAGTTAAAACTTAGTTACTCATGATGCAATTTATTTTATTATTTAAATAAACATACATTCGAATAGAGACGAAGAAGAAAAAGCAAACTGAATATTAAAATTGGAATAAAATGGACGGATTATTGAAGACAAAGAAAACTGTTCTCAAAACAAATGTGAATATGTTCGTGTTTTAGCATCATGACTGTTCTTGTCTTGTATACGTCTTAAACGATCTTGCTCTCGATTGTTTTTTAATTTTTGATTAATTATATATTCAGATTCTTGTCCACATTCTGTCATACGTAAATCAAAATGTAATAATGTACTATTATCTTGTAAACCTTCCTGTAATGATTTGCCAATATCTCCACCTAAGCGGTTCGCACTCATATCAATTTTTGTTAAACTTTTATTTCGATTAAGTATTTCAGCTAATTTATTTCCTGTTGGTTCAGACAAATTATTTGACGCTAGATTTAATTCTCGTAATGTTTGATTCATTAATAATGCTAAACAAATAGCTTGACCACCTTCATCGCCAATACGATTCAAACGTAAATTTAAATATTCAATGCTTGTCGATTTTGTGATACCATATGCAATCGCTTGTGCACCTTGTATTAATAAACGCTTAGTTTATAGTTATAGTTTTTCTTTCTAATACGCTTACCTTGTGGGCCAATAAGATTGTTACATAAATTTAATCGACGTAACTTTGAATGTCCATTAAGTAGTTTAGCAATGGCTCGACATCCACCTATAAGAATAGAGAATTAAATTCGATTGAAAAACAAAGACAAGAAAAATATGTTAAACTTACGATCACTAATTTGATTGTGTTCAAAATTGAGTTCTACCAAGGTTGGATGATCAAGTAAACCATCTCTTATTAACATTCTTATTCTCAGATCATCAACTTTAGATCGATGTAAATGTAAAAATCGTAAGGTTTTACATTGTTGTACACATTTCGCTAATATTTGACAATCTTTTTTCGTAAATTCAAACATATTCCAATCAAAATTCATGCCACAACCTTTAACGCCATATACTAAATGAAATTCTTCGAGGTTGGGTAAAAATTTAATAAGTTCTGTAAAATCAAAATGATCACATAATGGCTTTTTTACTTCAGCTTCGCGACCATCATTTAATTCATTCTCATCATCATCGTCAAAAAATTCATCTTCATTCTGTAAAATTTTATCTTGCATTTCAACTGGTGGTAAAAGTTGTTGGATATTGAGTCGTTTAACATATTGTGCTCCTTAAAAAGAAAATCATTTGTTTTTATAAAATACGATGTTCAACAAATATTAAACTATAGAAATTCTATCACACGCTGCAGCCGATGATCATTACAGATATCCTACTAGAATCTGTTCATATTCTAATTTAGTTTCTTTAAGCTTACCAAGATTTACATATTCAAATAATTGTTTCATATCAGTTTGAGCTGGTATAAAATTTTCAATAATTTCTTCGATATGTTTTTCAAAATAAAAACGTTTCCAAGAATTATCATACAGTTTTATATCACAAATAGGCCATTTTTCTTTACAACATTTCTGCCAATAGGTTTCATCTTCAATTAATGGTGCTGTGACTTTCAATGGAACAGTTGTTGGTAAACTTTTTAATAGTTGATTACGATGTTTATCTAATAATTGATCATATTTTGGGTTTGTATCAAAGCTTTTTACAAGAGAATTCAATGCTAAATCAGTTAGTGGCGGTACTATACGTAAACTCCATTCAAGATCATCGGCTATAATACGACGAACAGGTTTCAATTCAGGATTTAGCATCGAATATTTGACTTCAGCTTGAATGGCATCGTCTGTTAGACTTCTAACATTTTTCTCAGCTGATAGTTCAGTTTCCGTTGTTGGTGGTACAACTGTATTATCAGCAGTCGCTGCTGGCAGTGCATGATTAGACGCTTCGTCAGTCATCTAAAAATACATCATACAAGTAATAGCACAAATATTTTACATTGCACAATAATATAATAAGAGTATTGCACACAAGTAGGAAAAAGAGAAGAAAAAAAACGCATTATTATGTTATTTATTTCAATCGTCATCGACAGGCGGCAACCAAAATACCTAAAAGATAAAATATATTAAATTTTTTCTTTTAAATCTTGCTTTTTTTATTGTTTCTAACCATATTTGCCGAAGCCGTTGCTAACATAAATGATTTTGGATTAAATTGAACACATTGTATACAATCTGAAGAATTATCAGTAGTAAATGTGGTAAGCTTTTCACCATCCACTGTACGCCAAACATGTATTCGACCATCTGTGGAACCTAGAAACATCCAATTTTATCAGACAAAACCTAGGGCATGTTTTTGAAGAATCTAGTTAAAGTTGAATTTATTTGACTTCAGATTGTGTTCTGATTAATGTTTTAATTTGACAAAATGTAAAACTCGTATTCGATTTAGTGCTTGCCATTTTCTTACACAAAATGAGTTATACGTACCACAAAATACGTATTTTGAATCTGGACTAAACGAAGCTTCCAATGGTACATTTTTTGTATTTTGATGTCCCTTAAAAAATTTCAATCAAATATTTATATAATGATAGAAAATTCTTCCTATTTTTACAGTGAACGTATGTAAAAGAACACCACTGAACGCGTCAACAAGTAGTATCAATGAAGTATTTGTTGAAACGAGAATCATTTTGCCATCTGGACTAAATTTTAAATGTGTCCATTCAAATTCACCTTCACATTCATATTTCAACATTTCGAAGGGTCCCTGTACACAAAAACAAAACGCATTTATACAAAAAAGAATTCATTTAAGTATTTTTCTACTTTCTCATGATTTCGAATATCATATAATCCAATTATTTGTGAATCGATTCCAACACCAAAAGCAAGACCATCTGGATCATAATCAACCACCGGATTTCCGGGTGTAATAATTAAACCCTAATTAAATAATGATCTTATGAAAGTTTGTTATGTTGTTCAAAATAAATATTTACCTGGCAAAGTGCACTTCTTAAATCCCACACACGTACAGTTCGATCAGCTGACGCTGAAAGAAATGATTTATCAATTGGAGATACAGCTAAACTGCGTACTCTAAAAAAAATAAAATGAATGTTTACCATCAAAAATTCTCATTAATATTCTACTTTTTTGTATGTCCTGTATAATAACGAATATATTTACTATCTGACAAAGATAAATATCGAATACTATCTAAAAAATAAAAAATTTGCTTTCAATTATTATTACGAATGAAACAAAACTTCTATTGTACCATCAACTTTCATTGAACAATGAAGTGCTTGTTCACCACTACGAGTAAATCGTATCATATCACAACCATATTTTTTGCTTGGAATAGGTCGTTTAGGTCTAAACTGATGTCATAGTATGAACAGTAGTTCTAATCAACAAGCATTCTTACAATCCAGCTTCACAATCATAAACAACAATGCTATCATCATCGGAACTTGAGATAAGTAAATCACCTATTGAGAAAAACAAAAACAAGAAAAGAATAGAAATACAAACAAAAGTAAAACAAAATGACAGAAACCGTTTTTATTAAAATCACATGCATTTATACGTTCAGTATTCTCACGAAATACTTTTGTCATACGAAATGATTTTACATTTGTATCATTGATCAACATTGTTATTAGGATCTATTGAATCTAAGAGAAATAAAAAAAAAAGAATAGTTTTTATGTTCTACACCAGTTCCAATGAATTGTTGCTATGGATTTGTTTTACCGAAACACTTAGTGACACCTTTCTGACAGTCACATTATTGGCTCAATTAATAATAGATACAATATAGCAGAAGTCATTTCTTCATTGTTCATCGTTGTTCTTTGTTTCTGATACTTTTTGCTCTTGTTTACAACGCTTAAAGACTAATATTTCTTTTCAAGAACATATTTGAAAATCTTTTTGATGTCTCTAATCTACAGGAATAATCCGAAAAGAAAAATATGATGTATGGTTGCGCCTACTTACTATTTTCAGTATCAATCTCGATTTATAGATAATATTTTCAATTGTGTCTCAAAAAGAAAACAAATTGAATTCTATTAAGTATACGTAAAAAACAAGACATTGCAGATAAACTAAACAATCTTTTTTCTGAATGCGTACTGTGCATTTTTGTGGAAGTAACAATATTGGAGATAGTAGTTTTGTCTTTCTTCGAAATGATGTGTCTGTGAAAATAGAATAAAAGTAGCACGTACTTGTTCGAATAGCACACGATTAAGACCATGTCCCATAACGTGCGGAACTAGTCTCACAGCTCTTTTAAACAACGTACAACGTTTTCTCTCTATCTCTTGTTATCCTATACTTCGACTCTTTTATTTGTGGTGATCTACATTCCTTAATCAACTGTACATAGATTTGATCTAACTAGTAAATAAATGAAATTATCAACTTGTCAACTTAGTAAAACAAAGTGAGAATAATTAAGTTTCAAAAGATTCTGCACATGCAAACACTTACAATACTCGCCGATTGGATTTCTCTCTATATATGTACGTATATATATGATACGATCATATTGATAAAATCTTCGATCACCGGGGAAAGAAACATGGTTATCAAGAGTACTGGAATTAACGTGCAGACTATGAAAATATCACAGATTGAATTATTAAATACTAGAAGCAAGAAACCTTTGATGGACAAACTAGATACGGTAGATTATCACTTGTAAATTAGTGACATCTTTTATTCAGCTATATAATTTGTTTAGTAACCAACATATATGAAGGCATATTACTTCAGAAGTAGAAAAGAAAAATACTGCTTCGTCTTTACTAATTCCTTGTCGTTACCGTATTGCTACACTCATTTGTAATTGATGAAATATTTTGTTTAGTTTTATTTTGAAACAATTGGAAAATGAGTTCTCGCAAGCAACGTCTCGACGTTGGGCCATCTTCATCGTCTTCTTCTGATCCCAATAAACCACGAAAACGTCGTTTTGATGATGGACCCGAACCAGACTATTTCAATAATAGTAACAAATCAAAAGATTTCAATAAACCATCTCAAGCAAATGAACCATCAAATCCAACTATAAATCGATTTACAATGCAACCTTATTCTCAACAATATATGGAAATATTGAAAAAACGACGGCAATTACCTGTTTGGGAATATAAAGAAGCTTTTATGGCGACGCTTGACAAAAATCAAGTAACTGTACTTGTTGGCGAAACTGGTTCTGGTAAAACAACACAAATTCCACAATGGTGTGTCGATTTTGCACTTACATTACCGAATCCCAATGGACAAAAACGTCGTGGTATTGCATGTACACAACCTCGTCGTGTTGCTGCTATGTCAGTTGCACAACGTGTTGCTAATGAAATGGATGTTTCACTTGGACAGGAAGTTGGCTATTCAATTCGATTTGAAGATTGTTCATCACAAAAGACTATATTAAAATATATGACTGATGGTATGTTATTACGTGAAGCTATGTCCGATCCATTACTTGAATCTTATGCATGTGTATTATTGGATGAAGCACATGAACGTACATTGGCAACAGATATTTTAATGGGTCTTCTAAAAGAAGTCGCTAAACAACGTCCAGATTTGAAAATTATTGGTAAGTTAATATTTGAAAGAATGACTTCATTAGTTCTCTGGTTTATTAGTTATGTCTGCTACACTTGATGCTGGTAAATTTCAAGATTATTTTGATAAAGCACCATTATTAACTATACCCGGTCGAACATTTCCTGTTGAAATCTTTTATACACCTGAACCGGAACGTGACTATTTAGAAGCAGCTATTCGTACCACAGTACAAATTCACATGAGTGAAGAACAAGAAGGTAAAATATATTAATTTATGTTCTAGCCATTAAATTTAGTTTATTTTTCGCTAATTTTAGGCGATATTCTTCTGTTTTTAACTGGTCAAGAAGAAATTGAAGATGCATGTAAACGACTTCAACGTGAAGTAGAAAATTTAGGACCTGAAGCTGGTGAACTTAAATGTATTCCACTCTATTCAACTTTACCACCCAATTTACAACAACGTATTTTCGAAGCTGCACCACCTAATAAACCTAATGGCGCTATTGGTCGTAAAGTTGTTATATCAACAAATATTGCTGAAACATCATTGACTATTGATGGTGTTGTTTTCGTTATTGATCCTGGCTTTTCAAAACAAAAAGTTTACAATCCACGTATACGTGTCGAATCTCTGCTTGTTACACCTATATCAAAAGCTAGTGCACAACAACGAGCTGGGCGTGCTGGACGTACACGTCCGGGAAAATGTTTTCGTCTTTATACAGGTAAAATAAGGCAGTTATGGGATGACAAAAAAAAATGATTTGCAATATCTTGCTGTTTTTGTCAACTTTGAGTAAATTATCGAACAGTATTAATGTGTCTCCTGTAACCATAACATGAAATTAGCATGACAAGAAATTTTCTTTTTGTTTCATTTAATAATAGGGGGTGACTTAGCTCATATAAAAACATCGAACCTTTCACTCTGATCAACAGTGTTTTTAAGGATTTCAGTTCAGAGATTTAGAGTTTGTCAATCGCAATGTGGAACAGTTTTTCAAATTTGTATTAGTGCACACAGATTGAAGCATAAATCAATTATTTCAAATAAATTAATAAATTTATTTCATTTCGACTCGTTACTTATGTTCGATTGATTTAATTTGTTGTCTTTTTTTTGTATTTAGAAAAAGCCTATAAAACTGAAATGCATGAAAATACATATCCAGAAATTCTTCGATCAAATTTAGGCAGCGTTGTATTACAGCTAAAAAAACTAGGCATTGATGATCTTGTTCATTTTGATTTTATGGACCCACCAGCACCTGAAACATTGATGCGTGCATTAGAATTGCTGAATTATTTAGCTGCTATTGACGATGAAGGTGATTTAACTGAGTTAGGTTCAATGATGGCCGAATTTCCACTTGATCCACAATTAGCTAAAATGGTTATAGCATCATGTGACTATTCATGTTCAAATGAAATTTTATCATTAACTGCAATGCTGTCTGTACCACAATGTTTTGTTCGACCAAACGATGTACGTAAACAAGCTGATGAAGCTAAAGCACGTTTTGCACATATTGATGGTGATCATTTAACAATGTTAAATGTTTATCATGCATTTAAACAAAATCATGAAGATAATCATTGGTGTTATTCAAATTTTGTTAACTATCGTTCGTTGAAATCCGCAGATAATGTGCGAACACAACTTGGACGTATTATGGATCGGTAGGAAATGTTTTTTGCTATATGCTAGTTTTTATTACTAAATATTTATTTAGATTTAACTTGAAACGTTCATCAACTGAATTCACTTCACCTGATTACTATATTAATATTCGTAAAGCACTGGTCAGCGGATTTTTTATGCAAGTAGCACATTTAGAAAAAACTGGACATTATTTAACAATAAAAGATAACCAAATTGTTCAATTACATCCATCAACTGTTCTTGATCATAAACCAGAATGGGTTTTATATAATGAGTTTGTATTAACAACAAAAAATTATATTCGTACAGTCACAGATATAAAGCCAGAATGGTTATTAACAATATCTCCACAATATTATGAATTACCATCGTTACCTGATTGTGAAGCTAAACGACAATTGATGCGCATATATCAAAGAATGGAAAACAAACGAAATACTCAAAAATGACCTTTAAGCTTTTGTTTCTGTTATAAATACTTAACGTCATTTTGTTTTTTTGGTGTTTTGCTATTTGTTTGTCTTTGACCTTGCTCTTTTTTCTCTTTCTTCATTGTTGTAAAACATCACTGTCTTCATTCTAGATTATGAGTTAGAATGACGTGGAATTCAAGTTGTAGTATTGCATCCGATGATGAGAATTCTCGACATAGTTTCCTATCGGACTGTGATTCGGAATTCGATTTACGACCACCACCTCGATATCCAGCGGAAAAACGATCATACTCAACATTAAAGAAGCAATCCATCAATCGTATTGAACCACCAATGACACGATCAAGAGCAAAAGCGATCGGACAGACATTAGCTACATCGGAATCATTGCCGAAACAAAGACGTCAATCAACATTACGACGTAGTATGGATGCATTTACTGGAATGGCTACAACATTAACAAATAGTTTGAATAATAATTCAATTCTATTTTCAAAACAAGATACAACAATATCATCTAATGAGAGGTTAATTAATAAATTCATATTAACAGAAGGAAAAAAAATTTGTTTTTTTCCATTGGCCTTTTTTTTCTAGAACATTTAATCCCCCATTGGATGGTGTGAATATATTAGCTGATAGATTTGAAAGTTGTAGTTTAGATGAAGGAAAATGTAACGTGTTCCTATTTGAATATTAACAAAAATTACAAACATGCTTTTTTTTCTTAAATTTTATTTAGTAAATAAAAATTGTTCGTGGCCAAGTCGTGAGACAAATAGCCATTATAGACTCCCAATAACTTCACCATACCAAATAAATACATTTGGTGATAGTGGACTTTCAACATTTAGTAATTCTTCATTATTTGCTCAATCTTCGACACCGATGATGTTTCGTCAACATCAAGCTCAATTATGGTCACGTTTTCGTTTTGCTGCTTCAACGTTGCGTAATAATTTATGGCTCGAACAAACAGATTTAACTCTACAACAAGTTCCATCAAATGTATTCTCAACTAATTTTAACAATAATAATAATCTATTTAATCTAAATAATCAATCATCAATGTTATTATCTCCACAAACCGTACCGACTAGATTGGTGAATTCACAAAATAAATTTTCGTCATCATTAGGCGAAGACAACTGTTCATCTTCAATTTTTCGACAACGTAAAATACCGTCAACCAATGATTCTCTACCGTCAACCATAACAAACGAAAATTTTATAATTCAACAATCATCAATATCAAAAATTTTCTTTACATTAATAATCTTTGCCATTGGTATTGTGCTTGGTTATTTATTAACAAATACATTTCCACCTAGTCTTGTTTGGGAAATATGTGTTAAATATTTCGATATCTTCTGTGTTTATCTCCAAAATCTAATGAAATACTTTGTATCTCTTCGATCAAGTTAATAATGTTGTATATGTCAGTTGTTTTCTTTTTCTTTTTCTTTTTGTTAAGTTTAATTTGCTTACAGTGATATGTAACTCTTGCTATTGTTGCTGTTGTTGTTGTTGTTGTTGCTGCTTTCTTTTTACAGTAGGTTCATTTTTAAATAAAACATGATTTTGAAAATTGTGATAAGAAATAAAAATTCTTTTTAAAAATAATATCTAATTCAATTTCGTTACTGAAAACAGTTCGAAATTCTTGAGGGTGTAGGTGTGATTATGAATTGAAATATCTGTAAAACGCATACCCACGCCCCATCAATACTATGTATATGACGGTTCAATTCTGGTTACATAACGTCAAAGTTTGACTAGTGCAAAAAACTCCACAGGTTCTCAAAACATGCTTCATATATAAGAAGTTATCAACTGAATTGCTAACGAAAATGGAGCCAACTAACAATGTCATAAACAGCTAAATGATTCATGCACTTGTCATTGAAAACTACATAAGATTTGTCTCGAAGCATCTATGGAAAAGTGTCATTAATCTCATTCAAATAAAAAAAGAGATGAAACCATTTAGAATTTGAAAGTATCAATAATTATTCACTGTCGTTGCTTCGAAATAAACAAGCACATTCGCAAGCCAAGATCCTTCTGAATCAGAAAAGTAAAAATATATGATGCAAAAGCACCCAGGACATTATCGATCAGTCGGTTCTTATCGGAAGGGTTATAATTCCGGTGTAACATGGTGACCGGATTCGGCCGGTTAATTTCTAGTGAATTCCGATGATTTTCTTTGTTTTCTTATCAAATCTGGTTACCGGTTTCTCCGAGAACCGGCCAGATTTACATTGCCGGAAAATATCAGGTCAGATGATACGATTGGGCCGTATACGACGTGATCCGACAATATCTGGTAACGAAACTTTACCGGAATCCGCCGTGCCGCATGACGCTCGATTTCATGGTAGATCCGGCTTAATCAGTATCACCGGAACCAATCGAATCATATCAGAACGGAACGGTCCTACTCACCGGATTAAGCCACTTACTACAACACAGATCCGACCGAAAACATCTGCAACTAATTACCAGATACTAAAGGAAAATCTTGTGATCCATACCGACCCTTAGTTAACAGCTCACACAACCGATGAAAAGCATGAATTAAAATTATGGTTCAACCAATAGATTATTTATGAAAAATCAATCCACATGAGCAACATGATTAAGTATTTACTGATGCTGAGCGAAGTTATCGACCCGAATGAATCTCACTCAACTCGCTTATCATAACTCCAGCTAATATAACTTAATTATACGGTCGACTCCTGGTCTAACCCGAAGTCCACAACCATTAATGATTACCCAGGGCAACATAAACTTGCTATATACTCATACTATCTTGTTCGACCATGCAACTCGACAAAATTTAAAACGCGTTGCACACGTGTTTCCTCGGTCTGACAACACCAAAAGCATCATTTCAAATCACCAACAAACGCTTTTGCGGACGCTCGAATGTTGCTTACACATAATATTAAAAATTCCATATGCCATTAAATCGTTTTCGAATGTCACTCAAAATCCTGTTTCATGAAGAAAAACTACGTTGCAACTATCGAGAATGATTTTCTGAACGATTCTCTATGTCTTAGTGAATTTTTCGATCCCTCAAAAATTATCTTTGGAGTGATTTTGTGTTCGTGTTTATGCAACAAGGTCACTCCTCAATGATGTTTACAATGGTAAAGATTGATGAAAAAGTTAGTGGTGATATTCCAGGATGATATTCATGTGCATTTTCTATGAAGTATTAATGATTTCGATGAGTGCAAAATTATGTCTGGGACAATGCTTTCAAGAACTGAAATGCAACAAGATAGCGCAGTAAACGGGTTGGTAATGTGTTTAATGAATACGATGTATAGTAGATTGGTTTGGGATCATTCTAAGTGTGGGCATTGGTGAGCCAGATGTTGTTGTTTTCTGGTTACAATTTTTTTTAGGGTGATTGCTGTTGGGGGAAATGTTTGTTTTGGGCCCGTTTGAGCGGTGAGGGTTTGGATTATGTGTCATTATTCATCAGGCGTAGTCGTTTCGGTTGGTGTGGGTGTCTCTGAATACTACAGTTGATTCATGTTGTGATTAGAGAACGCTTGTATAAGAGATTTTTTATGAGATCCTTGCATCGAAATCTGATGAAATCCGGTCAAATATGTGCTGAAGCTCTCGTGAACCCGAGATCATCCGGTAGTCCGGGTCGATCGGTTATGACAATGTTCGGTTTTGTTATCCGTCAGGAAACGACCGGACCATTTTCCTTTGAATTCCGGCCCGGATTCCGGGAGCAGAGATTTCGGCGAAATCCCTGTCGGATCCTGGCAGATTTGAGTGGGAAACATGCCGGCTTCTGGAGTGATCCGTTGCTGGTTCCGATGGGTTACGGCAGGATCCCGAGGCAGGATCGAGTGTCTTGGGTAAGGAGTTGTATCCATCAGAGATCGAAACGAATGGCAAAAGTGTCATTTGGTTCGATTCGGATTCGGCTTTTCTGGTTTTTCAAAATTATAAATCAATTTGATTCGACTCAAATTGGATTTACAAAACATGGTATTTACCATTACATACTATTGTTGTTTTCAGACAGTCATCTTCTTGAAATGAAAATAGTCTGTCGATCTTCTATAGAAATATGTTGAATAAACATAATTTATGAATATATGCATAAGAATTATTCAATTTTTTCAAGAAAGGATACCCAAATAATATAAATTAATGAACACATCTAAATAGACTAATTAAATAAGTTTATTTTCTATAGAACAAGGAAAAATAATGTCATTTACTGTATATGGATCTATATTTGCACTTGACCATAATCATACTTAATAAGTCAAGAGGTTGATATTAAGACCCAAATCACACTGGAAATGTGAATTAAGTTAAAATCGTATTAAGCAATCTAATTGATACATTGAGAGTTAAATCACCTCTAAAAGATTGCGTCACTCTCAATGCATCAACCACATGGCTTAATTCAATTATAATGTTAATTTACTTCTCAGTGTGATTGAGGCCTAAATATATATGACTAAAGAAAAAAAAGAAGGAAATGAAGATGGAACGTTTTTTGTAAGTGGGCATTTCTTATATCAATCAAAGTGCACTTGGCCATGATAACGATATGAACAGAACAAGGATGACCATTAAATAAACACGCCTGACAAAAAGAAGCAAAGAGAAACAGCGGGCGTCCTTTTTCATTCGTTATATCTTATACTAGGCAACTGCCCTCGACCATAACACTAGAACAAAGAAAATGATTTTGAATAACCGAGTGAAACTGAAAAAAATGAATCGATTCGATTTTGGTCTATGGTACCCATTCCTCAACTATGTAAATGAACTGAAACAGAGACACGAACTACCTATATACATCCTTGTAAAAACACAGATTCTGATGATACTTGATGATAACTATTTAGGTAATAGTTGAAACATATCGTATACTACTTTGAATCTATCTAGACTTTGAGTGTTAACCCTATCCACACCTCCATACCCTCAGGCGTGATCCTTGGACCAGGTGTTTAAAAGCTCAAATCGAACGCTGCAATAAGCGTATATGCTGGTGCTTTAACACTGAACGGTAGTGGCATTTAAATATTTCAGATTAGCAGTGCATTTTCGACCTCACCCAGGTCGAAGAGTCTGGCCTGGAAACGGCCGATTCCGAGTAGTTCCGTTGATTTTGTAGAAGCAGTATTCCAGTTGGAAATTTTTCCGATCAATTCCTGTTGGAAAGCGCCGGAACTTGGCAGGAATCCACCGGCAAAGTTCGGCAGTATTTTCGACCGGAATTCTGCTTCCATGTTCCAGCGATTTCCCGTGTTTTCCTGCAGGATATGGTGACTTTCCAGCATATTTCCTGGAGTATCCTACGAGATCCGGTGGCCGGAATGTTCGACCTGGACAAGTAGTAGTAGTATCCTATTGACAAACGGTGCCAAAGCTAGCTGTATCTTCTGACAAGTAGGCAGCAGTGCATCACTTGGTCAAAACAGTCATTTCGTCGGTAATATTCTCGCATATGCATCTGTAGTCTTTGCCACCGGTGCCACCTCTGCAGGTTCCGCCTACACGCGAACAGGAACCTTCACGTTTATCGTTGGTAACATCACTGGTCAGACGAGATGCGATCTTTGCTACGTTATTCCTGATAATCTCGAATTAGCAATTAACAGTAATTTGTTTTAAAACATTCTCATACTTATTTCAGCAACGTTTCTCTTCTATTTATTTCGAAAATAAAAGAATCAGTTAAATATGCTTTGTAAAAAGCGTATTGAATCATCCATTCATCTTAAATTTTCATATATACGAATGATATAATGTTTTAAAATATTGTTGAATTTTCATCATTTAATAAAAGATGAAATTTAATACGACGAATTGAAACATAATGTAGGGGGGTTAGGGGTGTTGCTTGGTCGTCTTTAGATTTGTATTCACACGCACATCCACGTCGCACTCTCAGCACAGATATATGAACAGTGTGTTTTCGCAAAATTGCTTTTGATAAAACTACAGCGATTGCTTCTATTTTTTAAATGATATTTGGAAATGAATATATATTTGATGAAAGATTTCTATAGAGATAGATTTCATTTAAATTTTTACAATGAACAACAAGTAATGAATAGTGTCTAGCAGACATATTGAGACGCAGCTAAATTAATACAATAAAATATAACATATTTTCAGACTAAGAACTCTTTTTATCACTAGAAGCATCAACATTTACGGAACAACTTGTAGATGTTTGAGAAGCCTTTCGTAAAGGACAACATATAGTTGAATGACGTGGAACACCCTCGTTTACTTCATTTTCATCGCAATCATGCAATAATTCAAGACTTTTCAAATATCGACGTGAGAAAACATCTAAGCAAAAAGAAATAAAATCAAATGAGAAAATCTAATACACAATAATTTTACCAATATAAAACGAAGCTCCATTATAAACACTAACAGCAAAAATGGCGCAAAGAAATATTCCATTGATATACCTAAAATAAATTCCGTGCATAAAAACGAAATAGTGTAGAAAACTTCATTTTATTTTTTCACTTACATATTTCGATAATACCAGAAACAGACTGGTAATATCGATATGAGCATATATCCAAATTGTAAAAAGAAATAAAATACAACTTTATATAGATTAATACCATCATCTGGACTGCCGAAACCAAATTTTTCTATGAGACGTGCAACAAAACCATCCTTATCAGTCAACAGCCATGTATAGGATGTAGCTCGTAAACCGCGTGCAACTTTTTCTCGACGTCCATAAACAATGAAGGCATAGTATAATAATTGCCAGATTAAATAAAAAACAACTGTATAAAATACAGCTGATGCTGTATTTAGTGATGGTCCTATTTTAGTAATAGCTGGATAATTTTCACGTTGAAGTTCAACTGGTAAGAGCCAACGAAGAGTAAATAATGTTAATGGTGGATACCTATGAATAGAATTGAATTATGAAATACATATTAAATGAAAATATTTACATATGAATAAATAAACTGGTTACTTTGTCCAAACCTGACGTTTTTGTTTTAGAGAAAAACGAAACAGAATTGCAGCTCATTTGAATTTTTGGAAAAAAAAACTTACTATGAAACACAAGTGAATTTCTCCAAAGAACTATTGCAAAACTTAATGGACCATGGCTTAGTGTATAGCAGACAGTAAAAAGAATTGTTGACGATGGAAATACCCATAAATAAAGTATCGTTAGAAGATTAACAAAATAACATAAATCATAAACTAGAAAGTAAAAAGACTATACAAATGAATATAAGAAAGTATTTATTATTAGTATACCAAAATAATGCCAACTTTTACGTTTATAAATAAAAAATCGAAGTGTAATAAGAAATAATGCCTGAAAAGTATACACAAGAGGTAATATATGTGGCCAACGTCCAGCTAAATTTATGATGGAAAAAAATTAAATTCAAAGTTAATTGAGAAAAAACTAAGATTATTGTTCATACCAACTAACGGTGAAAAACAAGCATTAGCAACTCCAATAGAAAATGATATTTTATCACGCGTACGAATAAAATTCGGTTGTTTAAAATTTTCCGACCAAATATGAATACGTTGTTGTAATTGAGTTTTAAGAATACGTTTTTGTTCTTCAAGCTCAGCTATAGTTCGTAGTAAGCGTTGTCGAGGTTGTTCTCGTCGTTTTTCAACTAGAAAACAGAAACATGTGGAGTAAATAAATTCGTTTTATGTTGATTTACTTTGATTTTTAATATTGTCAATTTTATCGGAAACAGCTTCAAGAAAATCGTAAAAATCAAGATCTTCTTCTTCTTCTTCTTCATTATTAAGATTTTCTTCATTAAGATTCTCTCCACTTATCATTGCATCAGGAGATTCTTTTCTAGATTCATCATCACTGGTACTGATTTCTTCCTTTAAAATCTGACCTTCTGTCATATCTAGAAAAATAATTATTCCTTAAAAAATAAATTTCTATTAAACAAAAAAGAAAAAAAAATATCATAATATAGAATATGATTTATCTGAACACATTTTACAGATCACTATTAAGATCAACAAAACCTAAACACATTGAATTCTGTCCAATCAATGCAACACTAGATATGGAATTATGATTATTCCATTTTATTTCATCTATATTATGTTTAGATGATTCACTGGGCAAATTAATGCAAGAAGCACCTTCTGATGACCAAATATACAAACGATTGTTATGTGTACATAATGTTAAACGATCACGTTTTGGTTCCCATCTAACACATCGTATAGGTTGAAGTTGTATAAGTACGAAAGCTAAATGAAATTTTGGTTTAAAGTCAAATATAAATAAAAGATTTGGCATTGTATCATTAATTGTTGACATATATCGACCGGAACTTGAAAATTCTATAGATGATATACCTAACCGTGGATTTGCACGATCAAGATTAGGTTTTATAGGAGCTATTTTGAGTGTACCATTATATATAATATATTTTGATTCGACGCAACTTTTTGATTCATGATCTGATAACAGAGATGACGAATAAGCAGAAGATGAGTATGGTTTGGACTGACTAAAGTAAATAATAAAGATGGGTGATTCACATTAAAGTCGAGAATAAAAATATTTATGAAGAATTTATTGAAGAATTCAACAAGTTCTCGAGCAATTCTACTCGGTTTCATGTGCAAATGTGAATCTTCTTTTAATGTGTTCTTATCGACGTGGCAAGTCAAAAAGCGAATTTCTGTTGCAGTGTGTCATGCCATGAGAATATTACTAATATATCATGAGACTAGACTACTATGTCAGTTTCTACCTTATGTGGATATATTTTTATTTACCTTTTCTCATCTGACTTTTCATTATTCATATCACATTCTTCTTCTTTTAAAATAGTATAACCGTTTGTTGATGATAGTCTTTGTGGATGTTGAAAAGGTTGTCGAATTTTTTTGTATGTTAAATAACTAAATATTGTTATATTCTCTTCATAATCTCCAACAGCCATGACTTGTCCTGTTGGCGACCAACGTACGCAACGTACACCCAATGAGAAATGCTCGTTTTCTGGCTTGTACATATTTAATAATTGTCCATCGAGTGTATAAAAAACAATTTTATATTCATAACAATTTTCCCATAAACATAAAACATCATCACTCGGTGACCATTGAATACCTTGAAGATCTTCTAATTCACTAACTTGAAAATGTGTTACCATCGACCAATTTGATGCATAATTAAATATTGACACATGATCTGTACTATCATTTCGCCGTTCAACTAAGGCCATGTATGGTTTTAATGAATGAAATGTATAACAACTTGGCGAAAGTTTTTTTGGATATTTTATGTATGAAACATTTTTTGATGTTAATGACCAAACAGTTATACGTAAATGGAATTGTGCTGTTGTCAATATATGTCGAGAATCTGGTGTCCAATGTACTTGACAAAGACCAGCTGAACCTTCATCAATTTTACATTTCCAGTCTGGATTATCTAATGAAAATACTTGTATAGCACTACGTTTAAGCAAACCAGCTAAAATAAAATGTGAATCAGGTGACCATTCGATTATATCAATGACATCAATGCAAGCAAATACATTTATTATTTCTAATGTTGTCGATGCACGAATTATTAAACGATATTGATTAGCAGACGCTGAATATTGACCATCGGGCGAAAATGAACATTGATATGATGTTACTTTAAATAATTCTGTAAAATTCATCTAGAATAATAATATTACATCAAATAGGCCAACAAGAAAAAAAGAGGCAAGAAGATTTTTCAGTTTATGTCCACCAAAAATTAACAGAAAAACTAGGTGAAAGTGAACGAACATAATGCCAATGACGAGAAGGCATATAGAGCATATCACCAGGTTGAAGAATAGTTTCAAGATAAGGAACATCTTTGAAAAGAGGAAATCGATCATAATCAGGATTTTCAACATCAACCTAAATCAGAACATGACTCGCTAAATAATTTTATTCATAATGAAAATAAAAGACACGAATATTACTGAGCTAGTATTGTTTAACATAGTTGAACCCAATGTATATAATCTTGGCGAATAAATAGGATCATATAAACGAATATATTTTTCTCCGACTACCTGAAAAATCAATTTTGAATTATATTATTGTATTTTACTATAAAGAAACAGTAATTCATACTTGCGCAAGAAGATTTTGTTTTGGATCATTATGTAAAGGCGATATGGTTTGTTTTGGACCAATCCAGCTAGAAACAAGTAAACATAATAGTAAGAAAAAAATGCAAAATGGAAATACATACGCATTAAGATCAACTTCTTCATCTTCGTTTTCATCAGAGCTAATATAACAATAATCGGGTATACAAATATCTTTTTTTAAATCTGGAATCTATAATAATAATAATAAAAAACCCATATGGATTACGTTCTGTTTCACTCTCTATATTACCTGATCTAGTAAGGGATGTTGCGCTAAATAACCACATTTTGGAGACTAGAAAGAAATAATAGATAAAATCTTGCATGGAAGTCTTGGCGAGCTGCTATATTAATACAAAATATATCAAGTGAAAAATCTTTAGCAGACAATAGTTACTACCCAAGGACTATCGATCGTCTTGGCAACAGTTTTTCTTATGTATTCCTATTTTTCGGCTGCAATTATTTTTTCTTTTTTAAGGTAAATAGTACCCTTTATTGTTTGTGTTGTCACTATTTGCTCGTCATTTTTTTTTTCATTTGGCATTATTCTTATTGCAGCTATTGATAGATCTGACAAATACGTTTCTTATATAGTAAATATCATACTTCGATAGACTTATAAAAAAGAATAAATTTTACTGGCATGAGTTTAAATATCCTACAATAGATCATGTACTCTCTAATACTGTTTAACAGTAATTTCTTTTGCCAAGAAAAATTCGATAAAGAACTTAACGTTCGTTGTTCTGTCTTTTATCTGCCCATTATTGGAAGTATTGAACTTACTCGTTGTTTACAGTATTTTTTGATAAAATCCGCTATTGTCATTAACTTTTGTGTCCAATCATCATCTGAATAACGACTACCTAATTCAACGGGTACTGTTCGATCACCGGCCAATTTAATCAAATAATCAAAACTGTATGAAAATACAGAGAGCTTCTATGCATAATTAGATAAGACGAGATCCTTTTACCTCCATTTTGACAATGCTGGCCAATGATCAATACATCCAGTGAGAATAACAGGTTTTTTTGTTTGCATATAACATGTAAGAAATTGTTCCATAGATGGACACTGAATACGTACGATTGATTTTGTTGAATCAATAATTGGTCTTGGCATCCAGTTAAAATCCTCTTCCTGGCTATTATCATCAAGACGAATGCGTTTTGGTGAATGAAAATCATCATTCTAAAAATTCACTAAGATATTAGTCATATGAAAAAAAAAGAGATTTTTTTTAAAACAATTAATTTACAGGCTCTTCATCTTGTGTATTCTTGAAATTTTGATTAATTATTGAAATAAGCTCATTGAACTGTTTTTCAAGGATTGGTCCACCGAGTAAAATGCCCAAATCACATTTTTTTATAATATCCTACTACAATAAAAACAAAATACGAACAATATTAAATATAATTAACATTTTTGAAATACATTTACTTGATAATTGCTATTGTCACCATTGCTTATTAATGTCCTACAATCCACAAGTACATCAATATAGCATGCATAAGCATATAAATATCTATAAGCATCTTTAACATTTTGCCATATTCCGGTATTTAATTTTTCCCATGAATATTCGAGAAGAATTTTTAAATAAGGTCTAGTTCTTTCAAATTGTTTATCGTTAATTAAGAAATTTCTTGCCGCCTCTAGATAATTTATTAAATAAGAATCAATTTGATCTTCGTCTTTTGTAAAATGTTCATAGAAAACGTTTAATTGAATATTTTTACTAAATTCTTGAATTATTTCATTAAAACTCATCTATAAAACAAAAGAATGTATTTTAAAATGAGATTTTATGAATGTCATTGATTCGAGAGAGAGAGAGAGAGAGAGAAAAAGAGAGAGAATTTCTGGTTTAAAATTTTTCTATTTTGAACTAAAAGAAAAAAAGAAGGAATTCGGTAGAATGAAGAATATAAGTAAATAAATTTAAATGTTTTTAGTGTCAGTGGTTGGTTTTGAGGCCACCTCTTGTTTAACTTTGGCTACCAGTTCTTCTTTCTTTTCTTTTTCTTCCACAATATGTTCTTTTCGTACCACATCAATGATTTCTTTTAAATGCTTTTTCGATATTTTAACTTTTTCATTGCCAATTATTTCAAGTGCCTGAAACAAAAAATGAAAAGCAACAAGAAAAAAAAACTTATGCATTTACTTTCAATATTTCATCAACTTCAATGAAACCATCTTTGTTATGATCGAATTGATTGATTAAATCCCAAACTTGAATATCTGTTGATTTATTGGACACTTTTTGAAGTTCTCGAATTGTATTAACTAATTCTTGAGTTGAAATAAGTATTTCTCTGAAAATTCACAATATAGTTAAATATATTAAGAAAAAAACAGAAAATAATATTCACTTTTTCTCCGTAATGAAATTTGTGTGCTGTTGAATTTGGTCTGTTTTTAATTGAGCATCTTTTAATAAATCTTCTTCACTCTAAAGAAAATAAAATCGATGAGAAAATTTTCTAGAATAGAAATAAGATAAAACTATGTGGCCAACCTTAATATCTTTTTGAAGTGAATCCTTTTTTTTATCTAATGTTGTAACAATTTGATCCAGATCACCAACAAGTTTGTCAATACGTTTTGAAAGAGCCTTAGCAGAACGTGTTTCACTTAAATGTTTAAGTTGTTTCGTTGCAGCCAATGTTTCAAACGCTTTAACATCTTCCTTGTATTCTTTAACATCATCCTATATTGAAATAAAACAAAATTGAATAAAGATTCGCTGATAGAAAAAAAAGTCATTGAGTGCAATGTCAATCATAGAGAAATTATTTTATTCTATCAAGTTTGAAAAACTGTTTTAGAAAGTTCTTGTAAAATCATAAACTGTGAGAAAGGATCTAAATCTCTACTCGTTTAATTCAGCATTCAATTTAGATTATGTTTCAAAAAAAAAATAATAATTACTTTAAGTTCTTTAATTTCTTCAACAGTTGCTTCAACTTCTTGCGATTTTTGATGAACAAGTTGTTCAAGTGCTGTTTCGACTTGTCCAACATCAATATGTTGATCATCTTTCTTGTCTTCTTTTTTAACATCGCCCATTATAGGTGCTTTATCGACAAGAATTTCTGCTTTAGGAATATCTGATGGTATTGTTGGTGCCACAACTTGTTCGACTAGTTGTTTCTGCTTCATTTCATCTTCAGATATTTTCTTATCTTTCGCTTTTTCTTCTTTTTCTTTTCTAATAGCTTCATCTTCGAGTTTAATAACTTCAATACGTTGCGTGTTATCAACACGTTCACCACTAACTTCAGCAATTTTAACAGCCGTTACACTATCAATAGCTTTTGGTAGTGATTGAATGGCTGCTTTAAGTATATCTTCTTGTGGAATATTTTCCGGTAAATAAAGTGCCCGTGATAAAAGTAAAATGGTTGATGGTATACTTTTGTTAAGATGAAGGTCAAGCCATTGTTGTAATTGTGAACGTAAACGTTCAGCACTAAGACCAAGCGAACGCATACCACGATCGCGACATGCTGCTTGCAATTCGTCAACATCGAGACTTGTTATACCTTCATCTTGAATTAATTTATCATCAGCTTCTAAATTTCGTAATTTTAAATGAAGCGTAAAACGAAGATAATAATCAGGACCAATTGTTGATATGCCGAGAAGTTTGCATAAACCAGCTAATTGTGGACGATCAAGATTATCCAATGTTAATTTATTTTCAAATAATGAGGAAAATTTCATTATTTCTTCAGTCGATGGTTGAACGCCGGTTGAACGAATCTAAATGAAACAATAGATTTACTTAGTGAAAACCTTTACAGGCATCGATTTATAAGAATAAGATTTCGATTATTTTTCACGAATAATAAACTACAAAGGACTACAGATAACACATCTAGAGTGCGTATTAGCAAATATCAAAGGCGTGAGAATGTTGTTTCTTTCAAAATTTTTACATAATTTCTAAAAGATTTTTCTAGAATTGGAACTTAATTCTATGCAATAATTAGATAAGATTTACATAATAAAATAGCAACCATAACGATATAAAGATCAATCATTCTAGCAAAACAAAATTCAATTATTTGCTCACAAACAGATCTATTTATTGTCGATGTAATGTTATCCTGATGCATGATTGATATTTCTTTACATTGAATAGAAGTTCTGAAAACATAATATATGTTATATTCTATTATAGCAAGAATTAGATTAGATCGAATCAATTTGAAATACAAACAATGATCTGGTTGCTTAATAACAATAGTATACTATAAAAAAAACATGCGTTTGAATTATGAATTCAACATTCAAACTCTGAGTGTATAACAAAATAGAACTTCGACGAGAATAAAAATCATATTCACTAGGAATCTTATTGAATAAATCTCTCGTTTTGTTTTTTCCGTTTTCTCAAATCAATGTAATACCTTTTGCATAAATTCAGCAAATTGGGTTGTTAATGTATCATCGGAACGTTTCTTTTTCGATTGTAATGCTGTATCTTCCAGTGTATCTTGCAAGAATTTAGCTACTTCTAATTTTGCTTTTAATTGTTTTTTCAATTTTTCTTGCTAGAATTAAAAATTAAATCATCGTATTCGACAAATTTAAAGATCAATATTTACCTCTTTATCTGCTTCTTTAAATGTACTTGGTAACATATTTGGAAAAAGTTTCAAAAAAATTGGTAATGTAAATTCCATAAATGGCACAATAATGAAAACTGAAAATGGTACCAGTCGAAATAAATCAGCAGCCGTACGAGTAAACTAAAATTAAGTAGGCATAATGATTGAAATAAAAAATGCTTTTCTTTTTTTAAATTTTCTTACTTGTTTTCGTTCTCGTCTCGTTAATGTATGTCCATTCAAAACTTGTCTTAGAAGACGAAATGCAATTTTCGTTTCGATAAATAATAATTTGAAGCCATTGTAATAATGTTTCAATTCATGAACAATACGTTGCCAAAGTGATTTACGTTGTTTCACTAATGCTTGATCATTCGGTTGGGTGCCAGTCGTAGAAATTGATACATTCGGAGTACTAGTTGAAACAGTAGTTTTTATTGGCGACGTTGATGTTGTTTTTGCTGTTTCCTCAATAGTTTTATCTTTTAATAAATCTACTGTCTTTTCTACTTGAGATCTATCAGCGAAAAGTATCGACGATGAATGAAATGAACGAATATGTGTAGACGATAATAGTACTAAACGATTGGCATCAATCGAAGGTATACGTTTACCATAATAGTAATAATGAGGATGTTGTTTTACTGCAATAGATGTTACTCGACCTAACGGAAATAGAAAATATGATGTCTATTAGTTTTTGAATAGTTTTCAAAATATAAAAAGTCATACCTATTGTCGATAACGACAAAAGTCGATTACTTATACGAATAATGCTCATTCGATTGAACGCGTGCAATGTTATCAATGCATATTCGTAACGAAAAAAAAATAATAATCTAAAATAAATTCAATTGTTCAGAATAGCTTTCTAACTTTTGTTTGCTGAAAAAATACAATTATATTTTTGCTGAAAAGAAAATTAGATGTTTGCAAAATATATCAATATATATTCATAAGGAAAATTTGGCAATTTAAAATAAATTTGATTGTTCAGAAAAATTCTTTAATTTTGTTTGACAAAGTTCAATCATATTTTTATCGAAAATAAGATTAGATGTTTGAAACATAAACTCATATAATTCTTTTTTTGTTAACCGAAATGTTTGAACTATTTGAAATATTTCAGACGATAAACGACAATCCATGAGACCACTATCATCTGTGCATATGGTTAATGGATGTTTATTTTTATAAAATAAATCAAAATGATGTGTCGACAAATCTGATAGATTCATAGTTAATAGATTTGATGTTGGACATAGTTCAAGTGGAATTTGCTCTTTTAAAACACGCTGTTCTTGATCAACTGTACGAAAATTAAAATGACCAAGGCGTGTTGGTTTATAATCAATGATTAAATTGTTTTCATTTAAACATTCTTCATCCGGTAATTCGCCAATATGTATAGTTGTTGATAAATTTATTTGTTTAGCTAAATCAAATACTGGACGTAAGCGTTCAAATGATTTTACATTTGGATCACCAGATAAATCAAGACCAACGATTTGTGTACGATATTTTTCAGCTAACTTTAATGTTTCCATTGCCTGCTCCAATGTTTGTGTTCTATCAATGCTTAATACTAAACGTGAACAAATTTTATCTTCATATTCTTGCATCGTTTCTAGAATGGCTTCAACATAACTTGACGCCGCAATGGCACCATTCTGAAATGAACGTGGACGAGTTCGCAATTCAGCATATATAACATTATCACTGATAAAATCTTCTAATGTTTCGTGTGTAATACGACGAATATCATCTAAATTTGTTACACATGAACGAAGTAAAGAAAATTTCTCGAAAACATTCGCCATTCTTGAATGTGTATCACCCATAGGAAATTCTTTATCAAGTGTATCGAGACGCATTTGATCTGTAGGTGATGAAAGTAGTTGTCGAAATGTTGACGAACGAATGCATCCATTCAAATGTGCATGAAGTTCAATTTTTGGAATCGATTCACAAAAACGATTCAGATCGTCCATTATTTACTGCGAGCAGAAAACTTGCAAACCACTCGATAAATTTAATGTTTGTGTTTTATCCACTCGAAACGAGCGCTACTTTCTAAGAGTTGCATCAACTTACAGATAGCGCTACTGATAGAGCATTTTCTTTTTCATTTAGAAAGAGTACGTTACTCCATCATCATGAGATCATCTAAGAATAGAAGATTGTATAGAATTATAAACCAATTAAAGAAAAAAAAAACTTTCAATAGTAAAATAAAAAATGTCATTATATTTTTCAACAACAATATTTATTTAAAAAATGAATTTCTTGCTGTTTCAGGTAGTATATCTCTTTCTGTGTTTACTTTACTCATAGTAGTTATATATTAAAAAAAATTCCTTTCGTCTTTATTTCTTTCTCAGTGTATTATTTACCTGGTCGATTTATCACACGGAAAACATGTGCCTCTTGTTTTTATTTCATTTCGTAATTTTTTATCAATTTTCAACAGTATTTTCAAGTAATTTCGGTAAGTCTATTTAAAAAAGACTTTTTCATTCACATAAATATCCTATTTTTAGGTCAATACGACTTAGTAGCACATGAAAATAATGACGGTACAACACGATTTTTTGTTGTCGGTGATTGGGGTGGTTTACCATTCTTACCCTATGAAACTCCATCGGAAGTTGCTATTGCTGAAGCTATGGGTAAAATGGGTAACAAATTAAATACAAGTTTTCAATTGGCTTTGGGAGATAATTTCTACTTTGATGGTGTCCAATCAGCTAAAGATCCTCGATTTCAAGTAAGAGAAAGTTTTTATTGAAGATGTCAGCTATTTTATTTCTGACTCTAGAATACATTTGAACATGTATTCTCAGCGACGTCATTGCAAACACCGTGGTATGTTATTGCAGGTAATCATGATCATTTAGGTAATGTTTCAGCACAAATTGAATATGGTAAAACATCAAAACGATGGTAAATGAACAATGGCACTATTTTATCCTGTGTTTGGAAAAAATGAATTTTGTTATCTATAGGGTATTTCCTGATTATTTTTATTCATTTTCTCTATGGCAAAATGATAAACAAAATAAACTGATTGATTTCGTCATGATTGATACTGTTGTACTTTGTGGTGGTGGAAATTTATCCGATTGGGAACACACTGCATTAGCAGGCCCAAGAAATGAAAATGTTGCCGAAGCTTATTGGCAATGGATCGAAGAACAACTTCGCCAATCAACGTAAGAAACATCTACACTACAGATGTATAAATATACTAAACTACTTTGATTTTATTATTTTCAGTGCTCCATATTTAATTGTCAGTGGTCATTTTCCAATATATTCAGTTGCCGAACATGGTCCAACACAATGTTTAGTTGATCGACTTCGACCGTTACTTCATCAATATCAAGCAACAACTTATCTATGTGGACATGATCATAATCTTCAAGTAAAATCTTTCTTCTTCTTGTTCTTCTTCTATTTAAAAAATGTGTCTTGTTTTCATTTAAGCATTTAGTTGATGATATGAATGGAACACATTTGAATTATTTTGTTGTTGGTGCTGCTAATTTTATTGATAATAGTCATGCGCATGAACAAGCTGTACCACCAAATTCACTTAAATTTTTTTGGGCTGGCTCAATCTTATTCGGTGGTTTTGGTCTAATTGAAGTTGATAATACACAAATGAATTTTTCATTTATCGATCGTTCCGAGAAAACGTTATATCAAATAAACATGAAGCCACGTTTTTGATTTCTTTTTTTTGAAATGTGCTTTTATTTTTTTTCTAAAGACAATAAATATAAAAGGAAAAGGAAATTTTAATACATCATATAAAAAAAACTTGATATCTAAGGCTAAATGATTGATTTCGATCAAGAGGAGCGCGATTGCGATAAACGAGAACGTCTATACCCACATATTCATGATGAATCAAGGCCTTGTGATCGTGAATTTTTGAGGGATGTCCAAGGACTGAGGAATGGGAATTCTTTCGATTCCTCCTAAACACCAGCAATAAACAGAAAAGCACTAGAGGAATTGACGATTGTCCCACAGACACTACATGAGTCCCCCACAATACCATCACATATCCCTAACGAACACGACACCGTTCGATATCTTCTCCGTAAGGCATTCACACCCAAATACCTACGCAATCACTCAATTCCTCCGATAGGGATTGCCTACCATCGACCTAACACCCAAACTTCTCAGATAAAAACTAGAAACCGATGGCAATCCCTCAACAAGAGATTTATGTGAACTAACCCGATAGTAGTGAAAAATACTAGGAAATGACTACCAATCGTATATAGAACAAAATCTATTCAAGACTAACTTTCGAATCTTATCGCAAACCTTACAATGGCAATACCATACTTCTAGCGAAGTTACCTAATAGGGACTCATCCGAAATCCGTCGAGTACCTGGGGAACTATTGTTTCTCACATCGGTGTTCTAATTGATCCTGGGTCAAGAAAAGTGCCGGGGAACCGAGGAATTATGATAATTCCTCGGTTCCCGGCGTCTTCTGTTATCGAAAAAGATTGCCAAAGTGTATTCGATAAGAGTAGGTTCCTCAGTCACTGGATGGAGGACTGAATATTTCCCTTCAGGGTAAATGGGTCAGTTGCTAGGTGTTGTCAATGAAACTGTTATGGTTGTAATTTTTCGGGTTTGCGCATTGCCTGCTGCATAATAAGCGGCTACATGTGGTGTGGAATTGAGTTTTTATTGTCAGTTCTTTCGTAGGGAGAGAGGATCAGTTCGGGATGTTGCTTTGGTTTCCCGGATAGTGAGGATCATCTGAGCGATCGTAAGGATGTTTAGGTTGGGTATTGTTACGGTTCTCAAGTTTTGGTGAGTAATTAGAAGAAGTGGATAGGGGAATGAATTACGATATATGATGGTGTCGTTGATTAATTCTCGTTCCCTCGAAGCTATTATTTCTTTTGGCTGGGACTTGCAGATATCGGAAGAATTCCTAAAGTTCAGTCCTTGGACACTGCTGTAAAAAAGACAAATAATAATAAACAAGAATAGAAGTACCTCACAAAAAGATAACTACTTACAGAAAAAACTTTTATAACAAAGATTTGTATTCGTTTAAAACGAAAAAAAACCGATTAGAAGGCTGTATTTAAGTTCAATATGAAAGATGTTGACATTTAGTTTTCAAAAATGATTCTTCTGATTGGCTTAATTTCAAGAAATAGATGAAACTGCTAGATTTTGAGTGTTGACATGTTATTGTATGATTTCTTTTCTGGCATCTATAATTCTGCTCACACATTCCTCAAAATATGAGGAAAAAAAGAGTGGGTCCACAAAAAGTTCGACTTGGTGAAGAATAAGTACAACTCTAATACGAGCATCAACATTACAAACATCTGTTACAGTCCTTTCTTCATACACAACAGTGTATACGACAACTACAGCATTAAGTGATCCATTGATCGTTGGTAATAAGTCACTTTCGAAATGTATTATTCATAAACGAAAATATTATCATAGTTATTGTTCGAATCATCAATTTTTTTGCAAACGAAAATTACAATCCTTGTTCTAAGATAAGTTTTTATTGATCATACATCAACAAGTAACGTTCATCGACATCGAAAGTCAATTCACTGGGCCCTAGACTGACAGTGCTGAGGAGAAGAAATGCATGGACAGGTCAGAAAATCCGTTGTTTGTGCCAGTAGCTGTTGGCGATATTTTTAAACAGATCTGTAAAAGGGGTGGGAATAAGTGAAACTGAAGTAAGAATTAGACGAAAATTAAAGGTTTCAAGTAAAAACACTAAAAGGGAAGACGAAAACTGACAGAATGGTACTCAAAAGCACATAAATCGGCGGAGAGGTTGAATGTTACCTAGCCAAAAAAATACACAGTCTGGAAATTTCGTGATGGTAAACTCAAAGTTCTGTAGGGGGATCAACTCACCCCTCCACTCAAGACATATCCAGAGCGGACTGTTTTCCGTGTCCATGTCATGGAGTCGCCTATGGTTTCTGCCGTATCAATGCCCTAGGGGCCATCAAAATGGTCATTTGAACCATAGAAATGGCCATTTCGTACCGTTCCAATGATCATTTGTACCATAAGAATTGGCCATTTGTGCCATAGAAATGGTTATTTGTGCTACAGGAATGATCATTTGTGTCATTGTTACAGACAGACAGACAGACAGACACAGGTGAATTACGGTTTCTAGACCCTATCCTTTCAGTCTAGGGAACATTAAAAATATTTAATTGAAGACGATTATTGAAGTGATTTTATTGTAAATAAATAAATTCGCATATCTTTTCATGTGAGAAAGATTGACAAATATTTAGAAGTTTTCTTTGCTTTAGAAATAAGACGAACGCTACTCAGATACGCGATAAATGAGAAATTTAGATAAAGTAAAAATTTACACTAGATTTTTTCTCGGCAGACGTTACTCTGCATATGTTAATGTGCTAATGACCAATATATAAGTAGAATGAAAGAAATTAATTTCAGCTATTTCATCGAACGTAATTTCAGTATTACTTATTATCTCTTCTTTTTTTTAAATAGAAACTCGATCTGAAAACTTAAATTCCTTGTTTCAATTTTCTCTCTAGAATATTATCGGTTTCATTGAATGCATATCATGTCTATCTATTAAGCAAATCTAAAATTGAGAGTAAAAATGTCAATGATCTTGATGAAAAGATTTCAAATATTGAAGCATTTAAAAAATCATTTAATCATGAAAACTGATATTCTCTAATCTGCCAGAGAATATGCTGACATTTTCTTTTCAAGTTTGTCATCGAATTTGAAAACTACTAGTTATGGAGAAAATAATTGCGTAACTGCATCATCTATGCACTTATAATGTAGAAACGATATGGTATAAGGTAGATACTATAGTTCAAACTCCATTTGAATGGAAAACAAGACTGACTTTGAATACACGAGACCATGTGAAATTTTGAAGTGGCGGAGTTTTTGCATTGAAACTGTCCTGAAACATTGATTTCATGATTGAATCCATCTTGAGTGTTAATATATCTTACGTAATTGCCACTCCTCTCATTGTCTTTTTCTTGATAACGCTAAGTTCTTGGTGTGGGTGTGGGTATGCGCCAACTAAAAATATGCAGCGACAGGAACCCATCGATCCACACCCCACACCGTTGATGTGAACTAAAAGATAGCTTTCAAACTTTCAATTAATCATTGTGTTATTTTTTTTTTGTCTACAAACAAATTAAGGATTTCCTACACAGACCTCTATCAGAATCTCTTGAGCATTGCATATTTAATTCATATGAACAACAATCTACAGAGAATTCTATATAATCTATTGGATAATTCACTAACTTGTTTATTATTTGTATCTCTACTAAGTAAAATATAGTTGTACTGTATTCTGAGAATTAAAATTCAGTTGAATTTAGCATTAAAAAAAATCTTTTTTGAAAAAGAGCACGTCGCATAAAACAAATATTTGTTTCTTTTTGCATTCGAGCGATCAAATAGAAAAAAGCTTTTGCAGGATCAAATAAAAAAAGAGCAATTACTGTTGTACGTTATCTACAAGAATAAACCCTATGTTTTCAGCGTGTTGCTGTTCGTCAAATTTCATCGAATCTCTGCATAAAAGGTGATGTTGTTGTTTAGTTTATTGTGACAGAACGCAAAAAGAAATTCATAATATATATATATATATATTGTTTTCTTTCTCTTTTAACTATTCGAATTTGAGTAATACAGACAAAAGGTAAGTTGTTTTGATCACATTCATGAAAACTACACACAAACATAATGTACTCGAATCATTTTGAAGGCCTGAAATTATGCTTATATCTGTTAGACTACGATTCATTATTTCTACATTCACATTAAATAAGGTAGTTGTAGAGTGCCTATGTACAAATGATACAAGATTTAAAAATCTCCTTCGGAAAAATTTTGTCAGACTAAGCATTGGAATTTTGTTAATCGGTCCCTCAAAGTTTTAGCCAGTCAAAATTCACGTAAACTACGATGATATCATTCTGGTGCTCTGCCTAAAGATTGCAAAAGAAACAAATTAATTCAACTGTATTTCAATTTACTACTAAGATATTTCCTAAACATTCTATTGTCAAAATATAAGTTTGAGATGCATTAAATATAAAATTTAATATTCAATTTAAGAAATAGTCTAGTCTCAAATTGAAACAGAATGGCTGATATCATGTCAGAACTTAACATACAAATAAAATAGTTAGAGATGTTTGATGGGTCAATTGTGTTTGATAAATTTCCAAACAGACATTTCTAATGTGAACGACGAAAATTTATTTAAATCAACTCGATAGCTCTACCATAAGTCATTGTATAATAGAATCAAATTAAGAATTTTAGTAAAAACAATTTCTCTATTTCGACTATACTTTAAATTAAAAGATTTATCAATTTTTTCATATAGGAAATAATTTTCTAAGCTGTTCAATTTACAAACGTTTGGTTTTAATGATTTCTTTTTTTTAGAAAACAACTAGAAACTTTATATTAATGTCACGAGAAGTAAAAAGTCTTGGATCTAAGCTAACCAATTCAAAACCCAATACACCATCATCATTAAATAGCAGCTTAAGACTCGATGCGGCATCATCAAACGACACTTCCAAACCAGATTGCTACATGAAACTACTGAGCTTAGTGGAAAACAAATTATTTTTAGAAGACTTTAAATCGATGGTTGGGCCTGTAGCAGTAAGTGAAAATAAGTTAGAAGCTGCCGCGAGTATTCCAATAATGAAGAATGAAAATATTGAGAATATATTACAACATATGACCTTGTATTGGACTTTCAACGAAGAAAATAATAATGCGCGAAACAATAGTCAGCAATATGAAAGCTATTTTAATTCAGCTTTCTATGATTTGGCGAAAGATAATGTAACGTATGAAAAATTAGAAGAAATCTGTCGTAATTATGAAACACTCAAAAGTGCTAACGTTGATTCTGCAATGGCAGAACACAGTCGACGTGTTGCTAAAACAACTTCACATTTCAATGGTAAAGGTTTAACGGAAAATGAAGCTAAAGCAGCAGCATTAGCCATTTCATTCTATTCCGGTACAAAAAGTGGAGTACCTAAGCCAGTTAAAAGTGATCCAACCGATAAAAGACATATTGAATATCGCAGTAATAGAGCACTTGTTAATAAGCAAAGTAAAGAACAGTCAGTTGAAACGTTTATTATCTGCCATAATTTACTACGCGCAGTTTCAACACTTTTATACTATCAAGGTTATGTCTCACGATCTTGCCGTTTGAACGATGATGAACTAGGAATTTATACAGCGGGTTCGGTAGTTATATGGTCTCAATTTAGTGGTACATTTAAAGGCGAAACGATTCATAATAGTTCTGAATTTCCTCATCGAAATACATTTTTCAAGATTTATTCCTTAACTGGGCGCCCGATTAAGGAATTTTCAAATTATGACGATGAAGACGAGGTTTTATTCTTACCTGATTCGACGTTTCTTATATTAGAACATACTCATTCTCATCACGGAACACAACATGTTATTTATATGCGTCAAGTCGAATTAGGCATATCAAAATTCTCTGTATTATGGGTTGATGATGAAATCTTTCAAGATAAATGGGATAATAGAAAATATATGGTCGATGCAGAAGCAAAAGATCTAAAGAAAAACCTACGTTTCATACAGAAATCATCCACTGATACTGCATTATCATTTCTTGAGTCACCTTTTGGACAACGTCTTAAAAATAGAGCCACATTTCGTATTGTTAGTGACATGCATCGGGCTAATGAAGAATCTCCTGGCAATGCAGGTGCACGTTTGATAAAAAGACTAAGACAACTTGGATTTAATAATCAATGCTTGTTATTTGTGGGTGATAGAAATAATGCGGAAGAAACTATTAATAAAGAATTGAATAATAATGAAAAAAAATTTGCAAGTGTCACTAATTCCGAAAGCGATTTGATAAATTTCATTAACTTCGCGTAATTCTTTTACATCTATCGCCTATTTGCAGCATTTTTTTGTGAAGAGTTTTCAAAATGTACTGTATTTTTTTCCTATTAAATATATCTGCATGTATTATAACGCCAATTACAGAAACTCATTAAAATGCTCAATAGCATTTTAAGATAAATCCCATATATGATTCTTCATTACATACAGGGTGTAAATGTTAATGTGGGTTTTGATTTACGAGAGTGGCTTAATATCATCATAATTAATGAATTTTAATGTATCATTAGCATTTTTCTAGATTGTATCTGTGGTTAGTTAGAAAAAACATTGTTTATATTTATACCTTTTTAAGAAATAAAATAAAAGGCTGATGCTAATCAATGAAAAAAAATAAACGATGCAGTTTATCTTCCTCCCTATAATAAGTTCATAAGCGACACTATCTTTACATGCTTTTTCTCTTATCAAAGAGAGACAATCGCTCACAAAAAAAAGACTCGTTAGTTTTACTGTTTGATCTTATTTTAAGGCAACCATCAGTATTTCCCTAGTATAACGATGGAAATTACGGTGAATGTGTGGCATGAGTATAGAAAAATGTAAACGTGATCATTCCACTACTTTTCATTCGTATTAATAAGTTAACACACAAGAGCCAAACACTCTGACGTTAAGAAATTAGTATTTTTAACTACAGTTTAAAAGAAACAAATAACATATGTTTCCATTCCAACGATTCGAATGATGAACTAATGTGAAGTCAAGCTTGTACTAATAAGAAACGTATAATAGGTAGAGAAGAGAAGATGGATTATAAGATACATTTTTCTATCAAAAAGGATTCATCCATACAACAAGACATCTAATTATGACACACAATTCTTATCTTTTTTTCTTGTATATAGATTTATTTTTTCAGCATTAACAACAATTTGAATCAACTATTGTAGATGTTTTTCAGCTCGATATCGATTAATGTTTTCTATGGATGAAAAAGATCATTTGATAAGGCAAGTTAAATAAAATTACCTTCAAAGAAAAAAACATTTTTGCTTGTGAATCGTGCAAATGTTGTTTAAAACAATAAGCTTCTTTTTATAGAGCTATTCATAATGTTTATATTTGATCTATTACGAACAACGTACACTTATTGTCGTGTAAAACTCATCTCGCTCAATTTATTTAATTCTCGATCAACAGATCCAACAAAATTGTATCATGAAATTCTTTCAACACGTTTATTTATTCTTCTATTTGGCGTTTCACTTATTATACTCACCACCTATACGTCTTTTAGTCCACGAATGACGACCGAGAACATTCAATCGCCTTCTCTATCTGATTATGAACAACTCCAAAAACAATACTCCGATACTCTTCAGTGTTTGTGTGCAAAAATGTCGATACCCTACTACCGATTTACTAATATTGAGGCGTCATTTCATCAAGTTTGCTCAAGCTATTTTACTTCGCAAGAATGGATTGATTTCCTGTTGAAAAATGGCGATAGAAATCTATGGCCAATGGACGTGCGAACAAGTCTGAGTGCCATGTGGTATTTGATTGCGATACTTTGTGATCACTCGGTGCAGTTCTTTTATCATGCATTTTTGGAGTTCGAAGTGTCGTTCATAATTAGCTCCACAGTTTTGTCGGAAGAGCGCATTCATATTAATATTCAAGAAGCGGTCAAAGAAATACAACAAACAGCATCGAATTCTTTTTTATTACCACTTACTACTATCCAGCAAACTACACAAATAAATGGTATTATGGCAGGTACATTAATCAACTACGACATAAGCGAAAGTAGAAAACCATTAGAATCTTTTGAAGATGTTCAAGTTATTGCAAATAAATATTTACGAAACGGATCGACGAATAATTGCTCTTGTTTAGATAGGGAATCGTGTCCGATGCCTGGTGGTATCTATCTATACGATGTATGGGAAACAGATGGATTTTTCGATCTGAATATTTTAGTCCCGAATGAAACATTTCCTGGCCTTGTTGTTGATTGTTTACCACTTCAAATGACATTTGCTTCATCGTTGGAATGTTTCTATAATCAGACATGTCTCGATACGCTACTTTCGACCTATTCAACTATGTTCGATGTTGAAATACTCAATCAATCTTTACCAAGTCGATTTCCATTAACGACAAGTATCGATTCAATCGTTCGTGAATTATTTGTTGAAAATTTTTATATCCAATCCAGTTATAATTCTTATTTCAATGCATGCGCACCAGTTCACTGCAGTTATAATCGTGCGCGTCGATTTAATTCGATCTATATTATTACTACTCTCATTGCTCTATACGGAGGATTGAATGCGGCATTCTATATCATTACTCCTTATTTAATCGATTTGCTGTTGTTCGTGAAGGAAAGAATATTCCGACGAGACCGACCTCAACGGGATGAAAGTAAGTCTTCAAAAATATCTGATAATATTAGAGTAGAAGTCAAAAGATTTAAAATGCAATATTCTAATGGAATGCATATTTATCTGTGGGCCAATTTCTATTACAGTTTTACGAAAAGCCGAGAACGACACCGACACCCTCAAGTTTCGGATCTGTGCTGAATTCCAATAATGTTTTCGTTTTTCTAGATGTCAAAATTCATACTCTTCTTTGCCAGTGGTTTCATAGACTGACAGTATTTATAATTGTGCTCAATTTGTTCGACAATTATTCAGATGATCCATTTGATATTCTTCGTGGACGTATATCGACATGGCTTTATGTTACACTCTTAACCACTACCATGACTTTTATAACTGTATTTACTATGAACGCATCGTATTGGACAACCGTAACTATTTATTCTCCATCAGAAAAGCAATATGAAGCTTTATATCAACAATATCCCGATACAATACGATGTCCTTGCACTAGTATTTCGAATCCTTATGAATCATTTGTTCAAGTCACATTACGACAACATCAAGTATGCGAAAGCTATTTCATTCAACCATGGTGGTATGAAAGTTTTGATTCATCATTGAATTCTTCTATATTTATTTCGTCTTATTTTCGAACATTATCTATGCTGTGCGATATAACAAAGACAACTCTAGACGATGCAATACGTCAATTTTCTTCCACAACATTTGTCAGTTCTCACGTTCGTCAAAAGCAGTTCATCGTTTTACAAACAGATCAACTGTTTTCAGTGCTCAAATCTTCAGTGATCACCGAATTCAACACTATTATAGCGTTAATCAACGAAGTACTTCACACGAATCAATATATTAGTGGTCGACAAACAAATATTTTACTCAAAAAACTATTTTCGAATGACTCCAATCAAGCAAGAATAATTGCTACTACGCAGGCTGGCTTTGATGATAATGGTCAACCATGCTATTGCTCTCAAAACCCATTATGCAACATAGAACCATATTATCAAGATTCAACAATACCAGGTTTATCATTCAAATGTTTCGTATTCGATTCAGTATTGCAGTCGTCTCTCATATGTTGGTATAATCGTCATTGTCTAAATCACGTGTTGAGGGTGTGTGTGTGTGTGTGAGCGTGTGGTGGGGATGTGAGTCTTGGGTGTGTGTTTGGGTGTGAAGTGCACGTCTTCTCTTATTGAACACCCATACTCATACCCGTACCGACATCGACACCCTTAAAAAAGCATGCTTTTCTTTCAAAACAAAAATCCGTTTAATTAAATATCGGTAGTACAAACACTCTACGTGTCCTGAACAATGCCCAGCGATTCAAAGCATCCGAGTGTCATCATTAAAATCATAATCGACCACCAGCTTTGCCGTTCAAGTTTATGGATTCGACATTGTCTGAATTTCCGATGTTGACAGTTCACGGCTATACAAATAAAATTCATCCAAGGCGCCAGTAAAGTTACTCCCATAATATGAAGAAGGGTGTGGGTGTGGGTATAGGTGTGAGTAAGGGTGTTCAAGCAGAGAAGACGTGCACTTCACATTCAAACACACACCCGAAACTCACATCCCCACCCCGCCCCACGCTCACACATCCACACCCGTCTGTCTTAGCCTGTCTCTTAATATGAACCATATATTTCATGGTAGTCGAGAATTTGAGTATATCATAGGTATACTAAAGTATTTAGACTTATTATCAGACAGGCTTGGTGGCGCTGGACGCCAGCAATTATAACTTAATACAAGTCGATATTAGACTTGTAATATCTAAGAAATTCTCGATGACAGTTTTACACATTACCAAGGAGTACGTTACGTTGCATTACAGCTTTTCGCTTTTGTTCTTATAATGAACAATTATTCTTTGAAGCAAATTTGAATTGCAATTGTTTTCAAAGTTGAATTGAAAAACATATTTAAACATTTTTTTCTTTGAACGCCTCACTTTATGATTTCAATTACTTTTTTTACTCAAAAGGTATGCTACATTTACAGTAGTAAACAGATATCTTGCCTTAAACCAACTACGACAGCATGCGTTCTTGGTAACAAAAGAGTTCTATTGGTTATCGACTATGAATTATCGAATGGTATACTTCATTTATCTACAAAGTTAAACTCGTGGAACTGCATTGGTCTTTTCCTTTTGAGAACTGTGAGTAGTTTCTCTTGTAGCTGAAGCTTCTTCTTGCCAGTAGGACTCTGTAATAGTTCATTAGATGAATATTTAAATTCAGAAAAAAACTTACAGATCTTAAACTAATACTAAGCGATAATAACAGAGCTATTTACATCGTGATAATGATCAAGCGATATTAAAAACATTAGATCTCTCCGTTCTCTGAAAAAAATTAGTTCATTTGATTAAATTAGAATGAATATATTTCAATTTTTTTATTAAAAATCTACTTACATATGACACACCCTATGTATGTGTACGTGTGGCAGTAGAGTTTAGAATCTAGTTGAGATTGGAATCGTTGATTATTGTATAAATGTTGTGAGAAAGAGATGTATAGAAGAAAAATTTTGTTCGTGAGTAATATGAAATAGCTTGATTGAGTTTGTAGATTAAAAATAAACGTTTTTGTTTCCAAGATTATCTGAGTCTATTTTTCCTGACTAAAGAGAGAAAAACGACAACGATTCTGAGTAGATCTTTATGTTTTAATGCTCGGGACATTAGGACATAGGGACATTGCTTTTTTTTTTCTTTTTTTCTGTATCAGAAGAAAAGAAAGAAAAAGATTTTCGTTATGTTTATTTCGAAGTACGGGTCTCGAGCAGGTGGGATGGGAATGGGACGAGTTTTTATATCGAATGATACGGAAGGATAGTAAATGTTTTTTTTTTAAATTTCGAATGAAATTAATAAAGAAGTTTCTTATACGAGTAGTCCATTTGATGTGTTATTATCTGCAATCGTTCTTCGTTAAAAAAATGAGTAAGTTAACACAAAAGAAACTTCATAATTTATGTCTAATCATTGTCTGTTCCATAGTGACGAAGATCGATAATTAAAACTCAAATTAATAAACAAATGATAACAAAAAAATTAGATATTAGTAGATTCGACTGAATTATTAAAATGTAAAATCAGGATAAATAAATATTTATATGATGATGTAACATTAATGTCATAATCAGCGAAGTATCTTATTTCCTTTTAATATTAAACTATCAGTTCAACAAGATACATTAATTACTATATGGCTCATACAAGCGATATGAGAGAGCATTGCGATAAATGAAAAATAAGAAATAAAATTTTGTTTTGTTTTGGTCGCCAATTGAAAAAGAAATCTAAATTATGATCAATTAGAAAATACTTTGCTAAGTGTACCTCATAAAAAAAAACTTTCCATATCGTTCATATAAATTTATTTGCATTTTGATTTTCGAAATTCTTTTTTCTTTTCTTTTTTTCGCTCTCGTTTGTGTCTATTTTCTCTATCTTTAATTAAATCTATTATTCCAATCTCAAGTGAATTCTCATGTCAACTGTACCATATGTTTATATATGTTTTATTTTCTTTTTTTTATTAATATTACATAAAACCATCACGAAACGAAAAAAACATTGAAAACAACTCTATTTAAATTCAAAAAGTATTATAATCTTCTTTACGACAATGCGATAAAACGACAATAAGAAAGCAAGTATTTCAACAACACCTACGACTATCCCAAGAATAATGATATTATTTTTATTTGTAAATAATGTATCAACTAAACGATCATGGCATCCTTGTGGGTAACCATTAACACATGCTATTGTATGTTGATTTGCTGAGCTCATATTTGTAGGTAATTCATCTCAATGTTTTATTGTATTTAATTGACAACAAGTAAAAGGAATTATTGAATTTGTTGATAGATTATACGAGTTTATTCGATTCCAATCCGTAATACGTGAAAAATCAATTTTACCAATAGCTCTACAACATTGTAAATTGAATTAAGCAAAATCCCATGAAACTGATACAGAATTAAAATATGATGCATTCTTGACTGGTGTACCAACATAATAATTTGCAAACGAATCTTGTCATTTATTAACAGATTCAGTTTTAAAACGATATTGATAAGCTATAAAAACTATCTTAGTAGCTATTTCAGCAAGAGTAATTCCATCTATAATTATTGCATAGAATACATGTAAAAATCGAAAACCTTTTATTGCTCTACAAAAACATAGAGAAGAACAAAAATAAATAAATTGAATAATAAAAGTTAATTTAAATTTCGATTTTTTTTCTGTTTTGTCATTACCAAGAAATTCAATTAATAATAAAACAGCACCACCAACAACGATTACGAACAAGTAACGTTCATCGACAGCCGATTTGCTGAGCCCTAGACTGACAGTACTGAGGAGAAGAAATGCATGGACAGGACAGAAAATCGGTTGTTTGTGCCAGCAGCTGGTGATGATATTTTCAAACAGATCTGTAAACAGGGTGGGAATATATGAAACTGAGGTAAGAATTAGACGAAAATTAAAAGTTTCAAGTAAACGCACTAAAAGTGAAGACGAAAGACGGACAGAATGGGACTCAAAGGTTCTTAAGGCGGGGAAGAGGTTCAGCTTTACTCAGCCACAAAAAATATATGGTTCAGAAATTTCGTGATGGCTAGCTCAAAGATCCGTAGGGGGATCAGCTCTCTCCCTCCACTGAACCCATATTCAGAGCGGACTGTTTCACGTGACCATTTCATGCATCCGCCCATGGTTTGCGCATTGCAAAGGGTCCTTCGTGCGATAGAAATGGTCATTTGTACCATGAGAATTGGTCATTTGTGCCATATAAATGATAATTTGTGCCATGGAAATGGTCGTTTGTGCCACAGAAATGCTCATTCGTACCTTGAGAATTAGTCATTTCGACCGTGAGAATTAGTCAATTGTGCCATGGAAATGGTGGTTTGTGCCACGGAAATGGTCATTCGTACCATGAGAATTAGTCGTTTGTGTCATTGTTACAGACAGACACAGGTGAATTACGGTTTCTAGACCCTATCCTTTCAGTCTAGGGAACATAGGTATACTAAGTAATTTCAGCTGATTGCTTCAACTTCTATATCACATTTGCTAAATTCAGAGTCAAGTAGTGTACTAGTTTTTAAAATTAAACTAAAACACTATGCTCCATAGGGCATCAGTTTTGTTATCAATATCCTTAGCTTTTGTGTGAACCTTCACTTGACGATTTTATGTATCTTGAAATGTACTATATCATTTCATTTCTATATCTTTCTGATTTCAAATAATCTGTTTTGTCAAGTATTGCTATAATCTAACTAAATTAGTAATTTAGCTCACTCACAGATTTTCGATAGCTCGCCACAACAGAGAAAAACAATATTATTTTCCGAATTTATTATTTGACGATGTATGCAGCAGCGCGTTTAAAAACTCGAAAAATTCGCCTGCTTTGAAAGGGTTCACTTTTAGTACTTTTGAAATCGAACAACATTTTTGATAAGCACAGATAGTTGTTTTTTCTTGAAAGCGCACCCATTTTAATAATATTCTACCATGAAATATGCTGGAGTACATGTACAATCGTGAATGCATTCGCTTTCCGGTTCATCCGGTAATGGAAGTAATCAATTATATCATCGTTCTGGTCTTGTACTTGTGCCAAACTCGAGTATACTTTACATTGCTGATACGTACAACCGCCGCATTATGACGTATTTGCTAAATGCAACGTCAGGTTCTGTTGCTGCTGGTGGTGGCCATGGAGCCGGTGCTGGCAGTAATCAGTTATGTTATCCTTACAGTTTCACATGGGATTCATCATCAACTAGTTTTTGATTCTCACCTATAATGCTCACAATCTCGTTCGTTGGCAATTAGGTGCTAGTAGTTGGATGCTTGCTGATGGGGTCACTGGCATATCTGGTAACACATCGATACACTTGGTAAATCCCTTAAGTAGAGTCCTCGATCCAATGGGTAATATGAACGTAGCTGATATCAATAATCGTCGTATTCAAATTTTCTTGTTTGATCAGTCGGATAGCACGACAATTGCGGGAGTGACTAACTTATCTGGCACTAGTTCTACTCGACTGACAACCCCGTATTGGGCAATCCTGGACGATCAGCTTCATTTGTACGTGGCAGACACATTCAATAGTCGAGTTCAAAAATTTAAACGCTATTAAATAGCATTGAAACTGTTCTCATAGAAGTGGATCTAGATTTCAGATGCATCTATCAACGTTTTTCTGCTGTTTCTTAGATTCTTCTCAAAATGGATGATTTCAACAGACATGTAATTATAATAAATAAGAAACGAAGGATATAGCAAAAAACCTTTACCAGGTCATTCTTTTGATGATCAAGATGTATTCTGGCTTAAACAATAAATGCATTCATGTATGCCCAATACTGCATGAATGAATTTTGATTATGAGATTGAATTTAATTGTTTGTGAAATCATCAGTAGAGATGTTTACCCGACTAGCTGATTGCTTATATATTTTAAACAAATTTCTCCAAAAATTATATAAAACCCAACGAAGAATATCTCATTTTCTCTAGGTTATATTTACTAGAAATAGCTGTTATACTACGCTTTTACTAATGACAAAATAAGTTTGTCTAGATTCTATTCAATAGTGTGATTATGAGGTAAAAATAAATCACTTGTCTGTTCTTTATCCATTTATATAGATACTCAGTATTATGCTAGTCTTTGAAATGCAATTTATCAATTTTCAGACAACATTTAGTGATGACTCATGGCGCGTTTTCAATTTTCTGATGATTGTACAAATATCATATAGGTAACCTTTTTTCTCTCAAAATCACAGTCTCCAATGATGACAAAAACCGACCAGCTGTTATCTCTTTTTTTGTCCATTTATACACGCATATTCGTTAACTGCGTATATGTTTAGATTATTTTCGATATGCGTTCATATATGCATAGAACACTGAGCAAGCACGAAATCAAAATTGATCAAACCCGTTCAATTTGATCTACTCGGTTTTGTTGATTACAATAAAAAATTCTAATACGAAGCATGCATAGAAAATTGAAATTGAATGATGTTCTATTAATAAGTAAAACTTCAGAGTGTAAAAAAAAGACATCTCAATATATCAAATTTACAGTTGGTATTGTAGTAGGACACAACAAGGTTTTCTTGATGAAAGTAACTTTCGTTTCTTATCAACAACTACTATGTAATCTAGAATAAAATCATATTAATGAAAAAATAGTAATTGTCTGTTGGGACATTCTAAAGAGTAAAAGATATATCAAGATTTTATCTACTGACAAGAACATTTAGATAGCTAATGTACAAGAACTACATTCAAAAAGACATTAAAATCGAGTAGAAATGTATGATGTTAATGGGCTGAAGTTATCTGGTATTGTTGAGATTTGTTTTCGATTCTTGACTTTTTTCTTTTGTTGTTGTTGTTGCTCGTACATGGCAAGATGTCGCCAGCTTTGAATCAACGTTTGTGCACTATATTCAATTTCTTCTTGATCTTTCATTGAATCGAGCAAACCTCGATGTCTACCCATACACATCGAAAATATTAATATTATTTTGCTTGGCACAGTAAATGCGGAGGCAAGATTCGGTACCGAAGATGAATATCCCATCGAAAGACCACAACCACCAAAAGCACTTATGACTTCAAATATAACACGAAACACAGTAACATTCGGACAGCTAGGTGTCAGTAGAGACGCTTCAAAAGCACATATTAAAAAAACAAAAATAAATAACCATGTCCGCGTCGATATTATTAGACTGAATAAACTGACTATAGCATGTCGACAAAAAATAATTAACAAAAGTTTCATACGAAGAAGAGAAAGATGTCCAACGCTTGTAGTATGATATTGATAATTTTCTATGAAATCGCTTGGTACGTTAGCTACTATACTCAAACGATGATGGTAGCGTTTTTCAGCGAATTCATTAATAGCTGCTTCAACTTGATTTGCTCGTACCATTTCTGCAAAATATTTTTCAGCTTCTGCTTTTGTTCTTAAACCTTGTCTCAAAAGATAATGTTTCATTCGATCGATAGGCAGAAACATTTTGACACTCGCACGTCGGGTATCAGTTGATATATTATTTTCAAGTGTTTGTTGTGTTTGTAGTAAAATCCATTCCATTTCAAATGGCGTCTCATTTATTGTGCATAGCTAAAGAAAGAGTTCAAGAGAAAAAAAAATGAACTCATTCATCATCGTTTCTACTAGTGTATATTGATTTTTTTCAACATACCATTTGAGGTTTGACAAACATTAACAGAACAAAAATAATCAATGTTGCTTCAGTCAATTTACTTAGATCGATTGTAGAATAGCCTTAAATGATAAACATATAATAATACAATAGTTCGTAGATTTAAGTTCGAGAGTACCTGCAAAACGAGTATTCACTGTCAGAAACATAAATATCATAAATCGTTTGCCTCCTGTATAGATCGATAAAATCAGATTATTATAATCGAGTATCAATGCTACTGTAACACCAACTAAAAGTAACAAAAGAGCGAACGTGAAATTCGCCTGTATGATTTTTATTACTCACGTATTTGCATCAGAATAGTACTCGTTACATAAAGTCGTGTTTGAATCGATGGAAAGATAACAGCAGATAAACGATGATTATTCAATAAGATATAATCAAGATAGATTTTATACCGCCAACTAAAAACGCATAAAAATGAATCGAGTTTTAATGATAGAACAGAGATATATTTACGGCGCAACGAATTTGATGAGATTGACAACTCCACGTAGAATAGCAGGAAATAGAGATGTTCCAGACATGACAGCAATCATGATGATAATGTTCATGAAAATATCATCGACAAATATACTTGCACCATTTTGCCTGAAAAAAATTTAATTAAACTTTCCTTTAAAAACAGACACATGGCTTCATGTACTACCAGCATGTAAGTCCATTTTGATTAAAACTAGTAATTGTAACAACTAATGAAGCATAGAATGGATTCACTGTTGCATTTATTCGAGAATGATGTTGTAAAATATAATTATATTTGAACCAAAATCCCACTGAAAAAAATGTGATCAAATAAATAAATAAACACGTTGAAATAATAAGCACAATCAAAATAATATAAGCTGTAATACGAAGATGGTAAGGATCGGGTAAAGATTGAAGACGTTTTCTTAACACTGGATCAACTGAAGTTTGACGAGCAAGTGATTGAACGGGTAATATATTATTATCATCCATTCTCGTTGATGATGTGTCTTCAGTTGTGTTGGATTTTCGTTTCGCTTGAAAAATTTTAATAAAAATAGCCGGTATTGTACTAACGGTTATGCCTATTTAAACACAATTTTAATGCATTCTATTTCTCTAGTACTCTACCTGAAACCAATGTAAATAGAAGTAATATAATTTGTGACGCTTGGCTAAACGAACCGAAGTCATATGTTTGTAATCCACAAGTAAATACACATGTTGCGCCCATAAACCAACAATCAATAAAAGGTATGTTCTGGTCTTCAATAGCCCATGTAATAAGACCAGATAGAAGTGAATTCATGAAGAAAAGACCAAGATGAATGTAAAAATAATGTCGCATTCGCCATCGATAATTACTCCAGATTTTTTTAAATCTCGAACGCCAATCAGTTAGTGGTACAATTATATCAGCACTTGCGTTAATCATATTAATTTGTGCTTGAACAACATCCCTTTGTTCATTGGTCAAAGAGCTGAATGTATCATCTTGAGTAAAACTCAAGTTTTGCATGGTTGTAATAGTAAGTACTTTTAACTTTTGTATTTGAGTATTACTCTAATAATAGTATAGATTTCTGTTGAGTATTTTACTTTTATTTATTTTAGTTTTTCTCATTATAGCATCATTTGCGTACTTTTATTTCATGTATTTTTCTCCTATAGGCAATTAAAGTGTTGCAATTCAACGTCAAACGCGAAGATGTTTAATGATGTTTGCCTTTATGCAAAATGTCAATTTCCATGAAATAGCTCATAGCTACGAAGGATTGTTAGCAAAAAAAAATAATTATTGTTATTTCACTCGAGGTACTAAGACTTATTTTATTTTTTGTAAAAAGCAAAATAACATCGCTGATTGTTTGATTAATGATTGTTTTTTCTGTTCTATCGAAATCATATAAATATTTGTTTTTGTTTTGGACTTTTCACGTTCAACAGTGATCTACTTTTAATTGTTTTCATCGTTACTCGATTGGTTTATTATCAATAAAACTATTAGAATTTCGATTAAAATGAAGTTTCATACAGTTGTGTAGCATTTATAATTGTATCATGCGTACAAAAAGAACTCATTCATTTTCTCTAACAGACTATGCTGACGTTACTCTCTTTAATTGATGATGACGACTATTTTTATCATCATCAGTGGATAAATGCTTTATCAACATTGAAAACAGAATGCAATGATAAAGATAATAACGAAGCGGGTCACTGTTTACAGTTTAGTGTAGTAAACATTTCTTCATGCTCTTATCCAAAATGAAATGAGACGACTCGTTGTTTTACTCGAAATATCGTATCCATACATTTTAATTTCTTGAAAGAATGTATAAATAAACAAGATTTAGCTAAATTTGATGATTTCTATTCTTTTTCTCTATGCTGATGTTGTCGGATCGTTCATAATAAAGTATATGTGTTTATAATCAAAACTCTAAAACATAAAATGTCATTTCACAATCACAGGCAATGCAAAGGTCTAACATATGTTGGAAATCAGCATGGCAAGACCGCCCACGGTTAAAACAGCTCTTCTTGTAACACCAGATACCTAGTATATTTTTCTCAAAAGATGTATAGTTCACACGGATGCCAATTGAGCTAACAATATCTTTGGAATAGATGATTCAAAGTATTTCATTGCGAAAATGCTAGTCAGATAATTAATTGGCAAGATAAACTCCAACGCTTCTTTTAACATCGAAAAAATCAGAATATAAATAACTATTCAATTTATCTGTCTTATTAAATAAATAGTATTTAGATTTCCAATCCTTTCTTCAAAAAGTCGGTCAATATAAAAAAAAGAAAGTATTGGTAAGGCGCCTAGCGGAACTTTTTCATGTTTATTTTTCTTTTAATAAAATGCTTTCAGTATTTACTTTTATTCCATTATTTTTTCTACCTTTTTCTTGTTCATTTTCTTGTATTGGGGGTCCACAGTGTTACCTTAAACTTGGTTTCGATCAAGTAGTACCTAGTAGTAGAAAGTTTCTTGAAACATGTTCCACTATTAAAGTTTCACCATGTTCCGTATTTCTAAAAATTGATTATGATAATCAAATAGTTCATATTTCATTTGAAAGTTCATTAAATTCGACGGAATCACTATCTCCATTGATTGATCTTTTTGTAAATAATCAACGAGCTTCAACTATTCTACGCTATACTGTCAATGTTGGAGTTCATGTCAAGAATAAAACTCAATTGTATGTTTTATTACAATGCCGAACTGGTGATCGATGTACAGAAAAAGAATTACGACATTTTTGGCCTCGATTTATCTCACTGAATGATCGTCAAAATAGCTTTATTCATTTTTATCAGTATCTTTTGCTAAATTCATCGAATACCATCAATTGTTCTCAAGATCAAATAAATCAAACTGTATCATGTTCAACAGTCGATAGTAAATGTTGGGCATCAACAGATGCTCAACGGAAATGTATAAAAAACAATGAAAAGCATTCGAATTATTTTATCTATTCGTATAATAAAGTTCACGAACCAAATCAATTAACCGATGAACATGTTCATTATAGATTAGCATGTCAAGTAAATAATTGTAATAGTAATGAAACTATTAAAAAAGTGAGCAAAATACTTGATAAATATTGATCAAATATTTTCTACAGCTTAGTGAATTAGCTCGTCAATTTGTAGAGAACTCACGACCAACAAAGAATGGAACAAATCGAAAAGAATCGTATTCAAAAAATAAATATAAATATAAAAAACAATCATCATCCACTATAAAACTCGTAGCTTCTTATTTCATTATGATTTCGTTTGTGTTTTGTATAATGATGAATTTACACGAATGAAAAATTAGACCGTAAAGCAATAAAAAATGTTGACATCAGTAAAAGTATCTTATGAACTACGTGACGTTTATCGAAAACGAATTCATAGATTGAACCGTTGTAAGCTTTTCGATTTGCCTATTGCTAACTATACTTCTCCATAAAGACGTAGCTGTTGACCCTAATCTATTCGATGAACTGAAATCTCGATTAAAGAATGCTACTCGAAGCGAAATAAATGTGCAAGATTGATACTGTACATGTCGTATTGGTAGTTTACGCACTGTATTATTTCCCATAGAACACGATGCTGAGTTGGAGCGCGTTGCTAACTTTTTTAAATTCAATTTATTTAACGAGACGCAGCATGAAAGAATTCGTGCAGCCGACGTTTTTGTTGATCTTAAAAGCTGTTGCTACTCAACTTGATTATTTTGTTGACTTGTTAAACAAGCTTCAGCTAATGATAATAATTACTTCGATTTCTATTGTAAAAATGCCAACAAATAGTGGAGCAATATTTGATGACTTACTCAGAGTATTAGTGGCAACATTACATCAAGATCTGATGAGCCTAATTAATACTCGTCTATCGTATTGACGTACATGTGATACATCTACGCTATTCCTAAATTACTCAGTCTTCTAGTAGATATACTTTTGACGGCATATCTTTAAAAAAAACTCTTATATTTCATCCAAAGTATTTCTCTACAATTGCGCGAGCATAATCCCGCTAATGATGAAGATCTTACTAGCATCAAATGGCATGCACAAGGTCCAACTCAAATCGAAATTAATTCTATATTGCTCATTTTTATGTTAATGATATAAATATAGTTAGATTGATAAAAAAAAATTAAGTTTTAAACAGTTATCTTTTCTTATTTGATGATACAGGAGGAGCTACTGTGGTTAAAATAAGAGTATATTCGAATTTGATACGAACAGCCAAGAAAGAAAACGACTGATAAGAATTTATCTACAATAGGTCATGCTCGCAATTGTGAGCTTCATTGGAAATAGGGGAAAAAAGAACACATTCTATATGCTAATAAAATAAAATACATTTATGAAAGTTTTAGATATTAAAATGAAAATCGTTGTGAATTTGTACATCATCACATGTCTTGTCTTTATATGCGCCTCCAAAGATGTGGAAAAAATGAGTCATATTCAAATGTTTCATTCATATAAAAATAGTGTTACTCTTTATTGGAATTCAAATAATCTTGAATATCAAATTATTCGTGACAACGAAGTTTGGTTTGAAAGTGGTCCGTTTTTTATTCATTTTAATCAAACATTTTATTCATCAGCTCCCGAACAAGAAATACTTCCAATGTTACCCTTGTATCTCATTGAACAATATGAAACTAATGGAACTGATGTTGTTTTTGGCTTATTCGATAGATTGTCTCTTCGTTGGTCAATTGCAAATACTTCAAATGGCTTTGTTTGGGAAACATCATTTAAAATCTTTCAAGAACAGTCAATTATTTTATTTGAACAATATTTTCCTATTGATCTTAGCGGAATGTCACAGGGAAACGATCGAAATACATTTAAATATTCTTCCACAGCTTTTCCAAGATTTAAAGTTTCCTTCAATCAAACAGATCAATATGCTATCGATCAATTAGGTCATTTTACATTTTTAGATGCTTGGGATTTAAATATGCGTGGAGTTGGTTTAAAAAATGTTTTCACTGGTGGCTTATATAGTGGAAATCCTTTAGTATTATATAATTTAACAAAAATCGATTCGAATATTATTCTATCATCATTAACTAATTTCATGACAAATTTTCAAACACGTTCGCCATCATTAAACTATCATCTATCATGTGGTTTACATGGACGAGTACATCAAATAGTAAAATCATTTTCTTTAAAAACTATTTTATTAGCATCCGAACCTAAACAAGGTATCAATCAAATTGTTAATCTATGGGGAAAATTGATGTTACAATATTATGGAAAACAACATATTAAAGAACAAAAAGATCTACACAGAGATTTCTATGTATCAAAATTAGGTTATTACACAGATACAGGCGCTTACTATTGGTATCATACAGAATCGAATTTAACCTACGAACAAACATTTATTAAATTAAAACAGTATCATGTAAATGAACGAATTCCTATTCAATATTATGAATTAGATTCCTATTGGTATTACAAACAAAATAATTATACGGGTGAACATGGTGGTATTATGTTGTATGAACCGAGACCTGATGTATTTCCAAATGGTATTGATGGTCTGCAAAAAGACGTTTTGCATACACCTCTGATTGTTCATCATAAATATTATTCAACAGATAATTTATATCAAAATACATATAGATTTGTGAATGGCAGTGTAGGAGGCGTTTCATTACCATTGGATCAAACTTTTTTTAATAAAATATTTTCACAAGTTAAACAATGGGGCGTAGAAATTCTTATACAAGATTGGCTTTCGTCTGTCTATGAAGATATGCCAGAATCATCGTGGGATGTTCAAACAGCACGTGAATATCATATACATTTAGCTGAAGGCGCTAAACAAGCTGGAGTTAAAATCATTTATTGTATGCCATTAAATCCAGATATAATGGAAACACTAGAAAATACGCAAGTTCATTATATGCGCGTTAGTGATGATTATTCAGAAAATATTAATCAATGGAATATTGGCCGAGTATCAATGATTACATGGGCCATAGGTGTGATACCATTTAAAGATACATTCTGGACAACGTCAATGCAGCCAGAATCAAGATACGGCAATTTTACAGAACCAAATATTCATTTGAATGCATTGATTGCATTAATGAGTTTAGGTAGGACTTACCGAAGGAAAGTGCATTTATTAAAATAGAAAGGTGGTATCGTTTTTTTGTCTTGTAGTTAAAGATAAAACTTGATTGCAATGTGTTAAATTGTCCTTAAAGAGTAGATTTAAGATTCGCCAGCAGCTTTGGTTTCAAGAAATTCGGTTCTGATTTTAATGAGATTCACAAATTCTACTCACACTAAGGCGTTCTCATGCTGCGATTTTAAAATCGAATGCAAATTTCATTTTTAATACGATCTAACTAGAAATAGTATCGCTTGATATTTTAATAGTGAATTATTTTTAGGCGGTGTTGCCATATCAGATAAAATTGGTAATACAAACATAACGGTTGTTAATCGTTTATGCCGATTGGATGGCGTTCTATTTCGTCCAGAACGACCTGCAACTGCTATGGATTCAACATTTTTAGCTAGCGGTGGCCCTAAAGGAGAAATGTGGCATACATATAGTTCTGATGGGCAACAAAGCACATTCGTGGAATATGTGATGATAACAAATTTAACTGAACCTTATTTATTCTCTTGGAATGAATTGTCTAATACAGAAGAAGATGATAATCCAATCAGAATAGTATCGGATATGTATGTTGCCTTTGAATTTGAAAATCCAAAAGATTATTATTGGTTTTCATCAATAAATTCATCGACAATAGTAATGCCCTCTTGTGCACAAGATTTAGCAACACATCATTCACCATTTCATCTTTATATATTTGTGCCTTTTTCAAAAATATCGAATTGGATTTTATTTGGTGAATTAAGTAAACAGTTACCAATAACCAAACAAAGATTTGGATCAATACAAAATACCGCTGATAGTCTTCACGTGAATGTGATTGGAGTTTATGGCGAACAAGTGCCGATTACCGTAGGATATTGTGAACATGTATTTGGCAAAATTGATATATTTACTGTCGAATGCTCATTTATTTCAGTACAAGATATATCAACAATGATGATAACATGTGAACCACAAACCGGATGTCAGTGTAACATTATTTAAATTGAATAAATTTTTCGTAGAATAACGAGGAACAAAAGAGTTTCATTCAACGGCGTTTCCATATCAATTCAGCTTTCTCTCATCCGATTTATTAGAGTTGCCCCTTCATATTCATTCTTCTATATGCAGAGTATAAATTCGCCTTTGGAATTAGACACTTAAGGATTTCTTCTCGTCTTAGATAGAGAAACATAGCAATATTTTATTGATAAAATTTTAACAGAAAAATATGAAAACAAAGTATCATTTAGATGAGTTACTGTTTGCGTACCCGGTTCAAAATATTATAACATAAGTACATTTGCCGTATCATTGAGTATTGCTCGATTATTAGCATCGGTTTGATTATACCGAAGATCCAGTGTTGTCACCGTCTAAGTTTTGAATTGTAAGATAAATGTAATCAAAGTCATTAAAACTCTTTATCTTACCGAATTTTGTTGTGATGCACTCGCTAAATGATTTATTCCGTATATAGAGATCTGATTAAATGCAAGATCAATGACAGTAAGTGTCTATAGTTTTCACGATGAATAATGTTGTTCAATGCGACCTAACAAAAATATTTGTCTCACTCGGTTAGTTTCCAATAGAGTAGCTAGAGCTTGTGCGCCTTCATCAGCGATTAGGTTCAGTGCAAGATGAAGATGCGTAAGAGTCTATGCAAAGATGTTTCAACTGAGTATAGAAATAATAGATCGAATGCTTATTTTACGTTATTATGTTTTAAAGCATTGGCTAAATTATATGCGCCTTTATCACCAATATTATTTCTTGCAAGATTGAGCGTTGTGAGTGTCTATATTGATTGATATATCGTGGTCCATTAAGACAAGTTATTAATCTTACAACATTATTTTGTAAAGCATCAGCTAAATATTGTATTCCATCATCATATATTTCGTTACTTTGAAGATCCAATTTAACAAGCTTCTTTATCAAACAAAACAACAATGAAATATAAATTATCTTCAAAAAAAAAAACTAGCCGCTGCTTACTGTATTATGATTTAATAAATTTGCCAGATATCGTGCTCCGTCTATACCGACACTATTCCATCCAAGATATAATGTGCTGAGTGTCTATATTAAATTAGAGAAATCAATGTTACATAAATAAAAACCATATCGATCTAACATTATTATATTGTAATGCAGTTGCCAATATTTCTATTCCATTACTCCCTAGTTCATTTCCTCCCAGATTGAGACTAGTGAGTGTCTATGGTGAGTAGAATGAAGGTGTACAATTGATGGACAAATAGAAAATGTTGACTTACCTTGTTAGTTTCTAATGCATTCGCAAGAAATTGTATTCCTTCAGCACTAACTTGATTTCGTCCAAGATTAAGTGTTGTCAGACCCTATATTAGAAAGTTTATATCAATGTGAGATATAGAAAAACGAATTACTATGTTGCTTTCTAATGCATATGCTAGATATTGTACTCCGTCATCGCTTATTCCATTGCCTTCAATATCAAATGCAATCAGTGTCTGTATTGAAGAAAATAGACTCGATAAACAGATGAATGAATGAAATATTTCTTGTACAGTATTATTTTGTATTGTATTTGCCCATTGCTGTATCCCGTCGATGTTGATTTGATTTCTTCCAAGACTAAGCGTGTTGAGTATCTATATTCACTAGCTGCCACAGTAAGTATGCGATAGATAGTGTCAACAAAATATCTCACCGAATTATTTTCCAATGCGTACGCTAATGATTCGGCTCCTTCGTCTTTAATGTTATTATTTTGAAGATTTAGTATTTTTAGTGTCTAGGTTCAGGATGCATCTTCATGAATATGAAATATGTTGTAAAGAACATATCTTACAATGTTATGTTGTATTGCAATTGCAAGATGATATGCGCCTTTATCTCCAATATCATTTCCACCGAGATTAAGTGTGGTAAGTGTCTGTATTCATTTATAAATAATTCATATGAAAGTCAAAAAGAAAATATTTTTACAGTATTATCGTATAAAAACTTTGCTAGACATTGTATTCCTTCATCATCTATTTTATTATTTTGAAGATCTAATGTAGTAAGTGTCTATAAAAAGATGATACGTAAGAAAATGACATACATGAAATAGGATTGATCTTACTATGTTGCTTTGTAATGCAATTAACAAATATCTTATTCCTGTAATGCCAAAATTATTTCCTGCAAGATTGAGTGTGATAAGTGTCTGTGTAAAGATATGATGAACACGTAAGAAATTAAAATTAAGTAGAGAATTTTATTTTACTGTATTGGATTTTAATGAATATGCAATTTGTCGTAAATTTTGATCAGTAAGTTTCTTATTTGCCAGATTCAATATTTTACTTGTCTTTAAAGCACAAAAAAACTTTAATAATTTCACAGTCAACATGAAAGTGAATATAATAGAATGAAATGGGACATCTTGGTTTATAACAGCATCTGACAGTTTAACTCTCACAAGAATTGCACTTGGTTCAATATTGAACTGAATATTTAACAAAAGTTTACCTGAACTTGGGCATTATTATCGATGTTGGTGTCAAGTTGTGCGGAGTCATTTCGAAGCGAAAAAAGAATCTTCATTGGATTTATATTCTTGAGAACATCAACGACAGGTTCAACACAAGCTGGCATGAGAGATGGAGTAGTATCATTTGACATTTCTATTTATTTTTTATGTAAACATATTTCACTGATGTATACAGTTGTGTGTCTATTTATATATATGTTGAGTTTTTTTTCCAACATTGACTCTTATTTCATCAAAAACTATGTGTCATGGTGATGTTTTATGCAGAACGAAAACAATTTCGTAGGATGGCAAATAGTGAAACATTTGTATACCTGTATGCCCGACAAGCACATGGCTTTCTTTCTTCAATTTCATATTTATCAGTAAACTCATGCGTAATGTTGCTACCCAACAGTAACCACGTTAATTGGAAGAAAACAATCGAGAAATCTGGTCAGCAAATAAATTAGGTTTTTGCTTTGTTGTTATGAGAGCAATTAAACAAGTCTTTACTCCTCTATTTATATACACGAATATAGGAGCTAGTTTGAGTTAAATATACAGAAATATAAAATCAACTTTTTCTCTTCGATTGAGTTTTCCCTATTATGGCCCGCTACGGATCAGTCAACTAAATTTTCGAGGATCCAATAAGACTTTAAAGATCTTTGTATATAGCGGCGTAAGCCGATGCCTCGGCCAGCGGCGGTGACTCGAAAATTAAAAATTTTTGGTCCATCGGTGGCGGCGCCTCAACCGCTCGGCTTACACTTCTATTTGTATACACATTTATGCGCATTCTTTAGATGAAACTCTGTTTTGTTACATTGCTAGCAGTTGAAAGCAACACTATCTGGACGAAATAAGAAGCTATTAAAGTCTTTATTTTTCTAAGATTAAATATCAAAGTACGAAACTTTCAAGTAATATGCTAATCTTTGGTTAACTCCTTTTGATTTCAAACACAGTTGCTAATATGGCGAAGTAATACGGCATCAAGCTATAACCAGAGCTCTTCTCGTATTTATTCAATGTAAAATGAAACGTCAAACTTCTTCAAAAATTACACATTCAGACAGGGACGGCGCGAATGGGGGGGGGGTGGCGAACCCCCCCCCCCACCCCCCCCCCCCCCCAACTTTGGAAATTTTTGATTCAATTTTACTCCGATTTGAAGAAAAGAGAAGAGATTTTTATTGATTTACTCCGATTTTTGAAAAAAAACCTTCCGTTTTTAAGTAACCCCCCTATATTTTTGTTGCTTCGCGCCGTCCCTGCATTCAGATCAGAGACGTGCACAGGATATCATTTTTCTCCTGTTCTTGCCTATCCTGTTGGCTACCTTGGTTCTGGCGAGTGACAGGACAGGACAGGGAACCAGGACAACAGAACCGTCCTGCCATGTGCACATCTCTGAATTCAGATCATACGACAGCGAGATAAACATATTTTGCACTCATATTAAATGTATACTCGACAAGTATTAAAACTACGTCTATTCTAGAGGAAGATATTATTTCAATCTCAACTATCTTGTAATAATGTGATTCGAAAGGCATATATTAACTAGATAATCGTATTGAATGGAACAAAAACGCAGAAGAACAAGTAATAACACAAACAACGTCTAACCCGAAAGTTAAACGCAAAATTGTTATACATATTATCTCCGCTATAATTATTCCAGTACTTATTGTCATTGCAACAATTATTGTTAGTATTCAACAAAATGAACTCAATAAAACTAATCGAGATAATGACTTAGAAATAGCACAAAAGCAGTGTAAACACGATTTATACATTAGTAATCAGACTCGAGAACAATACCGTGAATTAAGTACACTACAGCGACAACAAGAACAATTTTTAGATGATCAACAACGACAGGAAAGTTTAGTTGGCAATTATATACGTGAAATATCTGAGTTACTTTTATCGATTAGTTTTACATTAACAAATAAAATCCGAGAAAATATTATTCGACCACAAACATTAGCTGTTTTGAGACAATTAGATGGTAAAATGAAAACGTATGCTATTTTATTTTTATGTGAATCTACATTGTTAATCGATGGCAAGCATTCAGTTTAGTTGGCGTCAATTTAAATGGGCTAGAACTAATTAGATATTGAAGAAAAGATTAGTTTTCATTCATATTTATTTTCTTTATCATTACCAAGAACTTCACTTATTGGTGCATCTTTTTATAATAGAATATTGCAGCATGCGCTGATTTTCGTCACAAACCTTAAAATGAACGATGTTTTATTTCAAGGTTTGTTTCATAAATATATTCCGTGTTTTATTTTGGTATTTAACTCTATGTTTGAAGAGAGAGGGAGAGAACAATATTACTGTTGTAACTCATTTTACTCTATTGACCTGCCAACGAGGATCATCAAGTGTTAACTGATTTCACTAGAGAATTCGACATGATTTGTTTTTTTTAAACTTGAAGTATATAACAAGTTGCTAAAATGACTCACCTATAATCGTGCTACCTTTTTCATATTCGATAGTCGCTTTAATATATGGTATAAAGTAAAATTGCTACTATTCATGCACATGGATGTATGAGCATGCTGCTATAAGCATCTCCTATTATGCAAGGCTAATTAAGTTTTGTATGATTACATCAAGGTCTTCATTTTTCCGTTTCGACTGTTTTAATCTTACGTTTACACACAAGAATAATCATAGAATAGAATGAAAGCTTGCCAACGTCTGTAATCACTAACAGATAATTAGGATGTCATTATCTCAATGTTATTGAAATTCGTGTTGAAAACATGTTAAATTTATGATTGAAAAATGTATGGGTGCATCACTTCTATCTGCTCAATACGATATGGCGAATTTAGCATTAGCTAAATTTGCAAATGCAGATATTCGTCTCGCTGATTTTTCTCTTTCCTGATCTGACTGGTAGTGATTTATCTGATAAACAATTGTATGAGCAAATTGTAACACTACGAGATACTATCCTTCCAAATGGGATAACACGTGGTCGTGCTCCGAATTGACTTGTTAATGGCAGTGCAGAATTTGGTTCAATTGTTCGGATGGAATTTAACAAGTTCAAGCGATGTTGTTACTAAAAAATATGAAAATCAGACAAATGAAAAATATTGAAAACTTTTTTTTCCAATTGTTAATAAAAACGACTAAGCCAATATCTATGTCACAACGAATCAATTTAACTATGTATTTACATTTGATTCAACGAGGTGGAACTGCGATTATTCTATCAATGGAAATAAAACCACGTTCAGTAACATGTTCAATGTATGCGAGAGACCATTGACGGTTAATAATGAAGGGTATCCCAGTGGTAAGCGTGTAGACAATTCTGTTTTCGATTGTTCTTTTCTGTTAAACTTATAGGAAGTGAAGGTTTAACAAATTGTGAAGTCGAAAATGAATTTCTGTATGCATCTGGTACATTACCATGCCATCGAGACACTAATTGTATCGAAATTACAGTCAAAATTGGAGCTGCTGAAATAGTTGACAACATTCAGTTATCTATCGGATAGGTGGGTTTTAGTGTTGAAGAAAAATATATCATTATAGTCTCGATGAAAAAGAAAAGTAATGCAAGTTTTATTGCGATTAAATCCTGTCGTAAAGTACACTTTTAATTATTAAACACACATTGCAATATTCAGTATTGTTTGATATGAGATAATTCATACAAACAGAAATTTACTTACGAAATGTGACTGAGTTTAGTCTATTGATTGAAATTACTATATTCGAGTTTCATACAAAAGACTGTTCTTTTTCTCTGGTCTTGCATATGTTTAACAAAGACTAAAACTACTTCGATATATCGAGAGAATAGTAAAAGATGTCATCATTATTGCAATGTGTGTTATTACACAACTTCTACTAAATTTCATCATAAATATAGAATTGCACACCATACATGAGCGGAGGTCCGAACTGAATGAGTTATCAATAAATAAAAGACGTAGCGTAGGTGGGAGATGACTTCTAGACCGAGTTGTCGCACATGAAACACCACTACTTTATAGTATCGGCCTCGTTCAACTAACACGACCTCCATTTTATTTTTGCTTGGTTGTAAAGAATATTGAGAAAGTTCTTATCATCTAAGTAAGAAGTATTGCTTCTAAAGTTATCAAATCTAGGAAGATAAAAATTACAAAATACGAATAGACTTTTAAAAGAGGAATTTTGTTTTAGAATCATTCGCAATTTTGTATTGTTAGCATTTCTAACAAACAATCAGAACTATTGGATATCTAGATTCTCATCGCAGTCAACATGATTTTCTAAGACTGTTTGGTTGATTGAATGTAATTTTTGCTGAAAAATACTTGTCTTATGCATTGTCTCTTGTTTGCTCAAATCTATACTCTGCTACGTTGCAATGTTTCATCTTTGATCACACTGGAGAAAAGATGTCGCCGGATATAATGCACTCTGTTTGATTCATATTTCAGAAAGTCGACTTTTAAAATATAGCTATCAGCATTTTTCTACGGAAATAGAAATAATTGACATTTTTATCAAGTGTCTTTGATTAGACTATTTCAGAACAGAAAAGTTGCGGTTTTTACCTTAACTTATTCTGAAAAGTAAATCAAACATAATATGTCAGCAATCGGAGTAGATCAGAACATTTGTATCGGCTGTTCTTTAACTTGAAGACGTGGAACAAGAGGAAAGAAAGGAAGAAAAAGACAAAACTTCAACTTCTTTTATATGTGAAGTAGAAAAAAATGTGCGCGCTGCTCACGACTCTCCTTCACACTTCAAATAAAAGTTTCAAGCATTTATTTATTTTAGATTTTTCTTGGTGCCTGTTTTTTTCTGGTTAAGCTATTTTATTTTCTATGCTCAAATATATTTTGTATCGATATGTGTAATGCGTTTAATTATTCGTCTAGTACCACGATTAGTTCGTTCACGACGACGAGTTTCTTTTTTATTTTCCACTAGTATTCTTATTAGTTTAATAATTATTTTATTTGTGATCAATCACGATCAAGAATCAAAAGTTTCTCTAAATAACCCGGTCAAAACATATGATAAACAATTGGTGTTATCCCATAATGTGACTACATTATTTCAAAAAACTATTCCTATTCAAAAGTAAGAGTAAAACTTATCATTAGTTTACGCACGAGTCATTTCATTGTATAATAACATGCAAAGTTTTGTATGTGTATAAATTATAGAATGTATATGACTGATTATTTTGTTTAGAAAAATCACATGGCCACTAGATGAACAAGGTCGTTCATTAAAAACTGATTTCATAGTTCTTGATTGGACAGGATTCTTTGGTGCTGCAGCTGGTGAAGGTGAACGTGTACACTGTCCATCATCAAATGCCATGTTTACATGGACTCATCAAAAAAATCGAATTGATGATATTGATTTTATTATTTCACATGATGCTGGTGCAGGCTTAAGCATTCCATTTGATCGTTTAAGTCTTAATAATGATCGACAGCAATATACAATGGCATTTATCATAGAAAGTGAAGTGCACTCTTCAACAGGCGATGCTTGGGCTAGATTTAATTTTAAAATGACATATAATCTTGATGATAGCTATCCAGAACCAGCAACTTATTTCGATATGAATCCATTTATTATTGATTTACTCAAACCACCTGTTGTACCTTTTGAAAGTAAAGATAAGCAAGCCGATGTTGTATGGATTATTTCAAATTGTCATGTAAGGAGATGTTGAGGTTAAGATAATATAGTGTAAAACATATCTTAAGGGTTGATTTGCATCTTCACTACTCTTTCTCATATATCATGCTAATGAGTATGCTGATAGATCGATGGTGAAATTTTAATAGCTTCTATATTTTTGTCAAACAAGGATTTTTTTCTATGACTCATCATCAAACTTAGAAATTATGTTAAGATTTAGGGTTAAATTTTCTGAATTAAATGGTATAGTGTTTACATTGTGAGAATCGTGCTCACTTTCATGAAGATGGGACAGCTGCACTGATAGAAATTGTATTTTAGTAGTCTGTCTACATTTAACTTTTTTAGTTCATCTACAAGAATGATAATTTATTATCACTAATATTAGTTGCACACCGTGATTAATATACGTACAATACCATATCGGATGTCAGCAATGTGAAATCATATTTTTTTTTTATTTATGCAGCAAAGCTGTGATCCGAGAAAGATCCTTCCAGCACCGGGAATAGAGAAGAAAAGAAAAAAAATGAAAATGAAAAAATGAGAAAATGGTGGAGAGAAGATATAAATTTATAACCAGAAGACGACATAAACATAAACATAAACAACAGTGACTGAAACAACAATTAAAATAAACAATCAAAGACAATAACAAAAAAGTCCATAACAAAAAAAGAGTCACTCTGAAAGAGAAAGAGAAACTGCGTTGCACCACAGTAGGGAACAGGAACAGAAATAAGCGAGTTATCAATATGCGGGGATCAGAATGTTTCAGGGTAGTCTTGGAGAAGTTGAACTTCTTCCATCTCGAAGAAGGGAATAGAGGAAGAACCAGGGACCGACCTGAGTCATGACATGATTTTTCCGATAATTGATGTATGGCTTATGAATCTCTTCGATCTTCTGAGACATTTCAGAGGGAATTCTCCTTCTAGCCAGGCTTGCCTGAACTCATTAATGTTGGCTTTCTCTAGGAGAAGTTCGCCGCCCGTAGAGTCGGCTAATGCAATCAGATAGTTTTCCCAATATGATAAGCACCGATCCTCAAGTGACTTCATGTCCATTGCATACGCGAAAAAGACTTCGTTCCATTGTGCAGCAAACAAGACTCTACGTAAGCACGTGAAGTAAAAATGCGATAAATCTTGCCTCTGCTTATCTGAAAAGAGTGGAAATAGTGGGAATATCCATGAAAACAGTGGGGGAATAAATGAAGTGAACAGAGCCTGTCTAAGCTGGGGAGAAGAACCACCATTAAGTTTGAACGATCTACTAAGGGCTACGCGTTGACGTATCTTCGTCATCGTTTTCTTAATCATAACACCCCACCAGAAAATTAGTATTGAAGCGCTGTATGAACGTTCGAAATGAATGAACATAAATAAATTCACAAGAAAAGTTATATTCAGGCAATCGAAGTATGCTTATATTCTATCACTATAAATAACGAGTTTAATATTTTAATGTAAGACATCTCTGCTAATGTATTTCAGTCATTTGAATATACGAAAACTTGACGTAGGATATCTTAGGTCAGGATTCGAGTATTTCTTGAATATATTCGCGTGAAGCTGGCTCCAACTAAGGACTTCCTGGCTCCAAGTAGAACTCAACGAGCTCTATTCAATAGTCACCTTCCGAATGCGATTCAGTGCTTCCAATCCGCCGAAATCTGCTAATTACCTACCAAAACCAGGTTTTTATTCCTAGAACCCGTCTCGATTCCCTCAACGACTGGTTCCAACAAACCCAACATTGGCTCCAAGTAGAATTCGACGAGCTCTACTTAATGGCCGCCTTCCGAATGCGATTAGATGCTTCCAATCCGCCAAAACCGGCTAATTACCTAAAAAAAAGCACGAGTCTGTACCTACAAAACCGTCGCGATTCCCTCAACGACTGGTTCCAACAAAACCAACATTGGCTCCTAGGAGGCCACGACGAGCTCTACTTAATGGCGAGCCCCTGAATGCAATTAAGTGCTTCCACTGAGCTAAAATCTGCTAATTACGTACAAGAAGCCGGTTTTTGTATCTACAATCCAGTCGCAATTCCCTCGACGACTGGCTCCAACAAAAGAAAGAGTGGCTCCAAGTAGAAGTCGAGGAGCTCTACTAAACGATCACTTTCCGAGTGCGGTTAAGTGTTTCTAATCCACAGAACTCGACGGGCTACTGCCTGAAACATCCGGCTGTGTTGGTAGAACCCGTCGGGATGCCCTTAACGGCTGGTTCCCATGCTGAAATGAGTCGGAACAAACGATTTGCGAAGTCATTTTCGTTGGAATTGTCACTCTTCGCTTCGGAATAGTTTTGAATCGAAAAATGGTGAGGTTACCCTAATTGAGAATTCTTTGGAGAGATGCTGGGAATGTCCTACTAGCTACCTGACGTGAACGTAATAGCCGCTTCTAATGAGTTGAATTACATGCGATTTGATTGATGAAAAGAAGCACGTTAAACAAGTTGGTAATTAGATTCTTTTCCGCTTCGATTTAGGTCTAATTGTATCCAATAGATAATGATTTTTTTAATATTCGCCTTAATAGTCCTCACTGCTATTCTTATCTTGAAAGCTGAAGGAACCGAAAAAACCATGCTATTTTTTTGTGCACTACAATTGAGCGCATCCGATGTGTTCACAATCAATGCGCGACACGTTTGTACCTAAGCAGTATTCGTTAAGGATGAACAGCAAGTAATAATTGTCTTCATTCTGTCTATCGATATATAATGGACGACTAATCTGATTTTTGTTCCATTCTGTCTATCGATATATAATTATTCTATTCTATTCTCTTCCAATCTCTTCCGCCCATAGGACGAAGCGAATGACCAGTAACTAATTTTTCTTGAATACTGACGCTGGAGTGCGACTCGTACCAATGTATTTTATAACTAGCTATCATAAAATTAAAAAAATCGAGAGGTTTTCAAATTTTCCAAAGCATGTTGAATATCTTTGTAACTATCCGAACGATGAAGCCTTCCACAATAATAAATAAAAACCAATGAAATAAGAAAGCTATCGTACATACGCTGAACTGCATAAATTTACATTATGCAAATGTTAGCACAAAACTGCTACGGAATTTCTATTTTACAGAGGGAAAAAATTTATCTACGCTATTTCGTAGTGGATTCAGGTAACGCTTGATAAATGACGGCAAAAGAAACTTCGCCTGATTTTTCAGACCAGACGCTTCCGCACCAGTTAAAGATCTGTGTATTCGATTAAACACATCACAATGCATATTCACCTGTGGTGTTTCAGTTAGAAACTGCTTCTGGCCGAATCGCAATGGGTTTGTAGGTACGGAATCCGGCTTTTTTTAGGTAATTAGCGGGTTCTGGCGGATTGGAAGCACCTAATCGCATTCGCAAGGTGACCATTAAGGAGAGCTCGTCGAATTCTACTGGGAGCCAGTTTTGGTTTTGTTGGAGCCAGTTGTTGAGCGAATCGCGACTGGTTTGTAGGTACGGAATCCGGCTTTTTTTAGGTAATAAGCGGGTTCTGGCGGATTGGAAGCACCTAATCGCATTCGCAAGGCGACCATTAAGTAGAGCTCGTCGAATTCTACTTGGAGCCAATGTTGGTTTTGTTGGAACCAGTCGTTGAGCGAATCCCGACAGGTTCTATTTGTGTTTTCATTGATTTGTCTTATTTTTTAGCAGTAAAAGGGGTTTTCCGGACGGAAGGAAGTCACTTGGTTAGAAAAAAATATATTGCAGTGGATAGAGCGCGTCGAGATCTACTTGGAGCCAGGAAGTCCTTAGTTGGAGCCAGCTTCACGGCGAATATTTTCAAGAAATACTCGAATCCTGACCTAAGATATCCTACGTACGTGATTGGTGTATTCCGACTTAAAATCACCTTTTTGAAACGCTTCATTTGTTAATTCAGTTCTAATTGGTCTTCTTTTTTTACAGTCTGTTTGGGGTGTAAGATTATTATTATTTGTATCGTAAATCCCGTAACCGTTTTTACTGCAGGATTAGAAAAGAATTAAAAATAAAAATGTTAAGATACTTATGATTCAAAAGACACGCGGAGCGCAAGTTAATTACTAATAATAAAAACCCTACTTTGATCAAATTGATCGGAAACAATTTTTTATCTTGCTGTCTTTTGCACATTTTAGAATGAAATTAAGTTGAAGCCACGAGAAAACGTCGTGAAAATGAAAAAACAAACGAACAAAGAGAAGAAAGAATACTGCCATCAACGTATACAGTGGATTTACCAATTACATCGTACACGATGCTACGCAGACACGCTAGCGACACAGTGACACGATGAATATAATATATATTAATGATCGAAGAGCGACAATTAGACTCCAAACAGACAGACCGAACAATTTAAAATTGAATTAACTAATGATATGACCAGAAGCGTTAAAATAGAAATAAGTCACCTTTTCGACTATTACTTGAAATAAGGTAGACCGTTCTAACATCGTTGTAAAATTGTTCTAAGCTCTATATCTCTTCGCGAAATATCTTTCTGCATTCATGTCGTCTGTAGATGAACTTTTAGATGAAATCAATCAAGATTAAGCAGAAATTTTTCAATTTTAGTAATTCTTTAACTGTTGTGATAACAAAAACTACTGAGGATTACTCTCAAATTAATATCTTTAAAAACAACCAACAATAAAAAGAAGAAAAGTACGAAAATAACCAAGAGATTAACAATTGATACAATTAAAGTTATTGATATAGTTTTATTCTTATGATTATACTTTATGTTTTTCATTGATTCTAGGCAAATGTTTCGTTTCGTTGCCACACGCACTATATCACCTGGTAGGTTAGCAATAGAATCTCCAGGATGCTTATCCTATCTATCTCGTCGTTTTCTACAAAATTATCTGTCTCAATCAAATGGAAATCGTGTTACCTCATCATCTGTGTCAGTTGATATGCACAAATGAAAAACTGGGTCGAAAGAAGTATGTTTGCTTAAGTTCAATAGACAATGTTTTCATTAACTCTGATGCTTTTTTTGCCTTTCTCTCGGTTAGAAGATAAAAGAGAAAAACTAATAATTACAAATTCTTTTGATAGTACATTTTTGTTGAATCCAATTTAAAACACCTACAACGTGCTCTCGGATAGACGACCCAAGTACAACTGCGAACATCTTCAACAAATGACCATTTGATTATGAATGTTTCTTTTTTCAGCACGGCGAGCAAATTAATAACCAATGAAATTTTCATTGTACACTTACTGAACGATGAACTATCAGCAATTTTAAAGTTCTCATACGTTGATATTATAATGCGGAGTGTATGTCAAAAGAAGTTGCTTTTTTATTGATTTAGACATTGTTTTATTGACAAATAAAATTTTGTTGTCCTCCAACGAATTATGGCAGTCTGTCGTCATATGAGTTCTACAGTTAGTACTTCAATTTTTTTAGAAGCGAGTTTACATCGAGAAACAAAATGAATGGAAAGACATTAGCAACGAATTAAAAATAATGTAGATTGAATTTTTCTCGGTTCATTATGAAGCAAGTAAAATGGTCTATATGAATATTTTGTCGTAAAGAATACTAAAGCGTGAAACAGGCTTTGAAAGGAATTATATTTAAATTTCAGATACCCTGCAGCTTCCTATAATCATCACAAGTAGATTCATGTAAGATAAAGACAGGCTTATTCGAATATAAATGGCTTAATGATAAAATTTTATGGCTACTTTTACTGAGTTCTAAAAGCGAATACTCTCGAGAAAATGACTTTCTAAAGATTTTTTTTTTATTCTGAACCAATTTATTTTGCATTTAGCTGTACTGCATTATGGTTAGTAAAATAGTTAATAAATAAGAATAAGGTATGGATCACATATCAGAAACAATTTTATATCATTTTATTGTGTGTGCTTGATCAACGAGATAAGAAGAGTCTGTTGATATTGAGAATCTTTTTCTGTTTTCACAATCGAGATATAGAACTGTATATTTTCTATCAGCTTGTGACTACCTATACGTAATATCATGGGAGAACGCATGTGACTGCTTCCATTCAGATTAGAGAGAGATTGATCTCATGTTGATTTCAATGTCTAGCAGCGGCTGAAATTATTACTTTTGCAAGATATGAATAATACTTGAATCATCAATTTGATCTCGACTTTGAACTACTGACAAAGATTTCATCTAGAAACGAAACTACAAAGAGTTAATGTGAATTCAACAGCAGACAACTCGATCTTGGTTGTTATAGAGAAAGTAAAGTTCGTCATTGAAGAATATAGGAAGAACTTTACTGTTTGATCCAGTCAATAAATAATCATTTTATTGCTATTCATTCGCAGTAGAAACCAGTATTTATTTTCAAGATTGCTATCAAAATCATTACTAATGCATACGTATGAATCATTCTTCGTGTAGATTTCTGATTCCCACAATTTATACTGAGTGAGAATCACGTTTTGCATTACTTTTCGATTATTCATACAGATTCGCGATGCAATGAGTAATAACTCTGGGTATTTTGCTTGTACGGTTCTTTTTATGGTAAGTACATTTCATTTTATCAGGGTTCTCCAACTGGAAGTGGCTTGCCAGCAGCGTAACATCCTCAAACATAAATTAGTTTTTACCTGCGAAAAAAAAACATTTTTGCAAATTTTACACTTCATTCAAGATTTTCATGACGAAAGGTCTTTACATCTCGTCAAAATTAGAAACTTCGGAACAGTCTTGCGTTTTCTATATTATTCCATTGTTTTAATGTGCTCGTGACTGGATATTATCTTAATTTTTCTATCTCAAATTAATTTCATTGCCTGGCAAAATCGTTATATTTTCATAATAAAAGGAAATACAAGTTTACATTACTCTCCTTGTCGATAGTACTTTCACCTTTATTTTTAGTATGTATACACTGTATGAATTCAAATTCAAAATTTGAATTCTATCAGCGTTGATTCTCTCGTACCATACTTCAAGTTGCTTAGGAAAAAAACGTTTACGTCATATTTTATCCGATTTCAATGCATAGATTTTCTTTCGACTTCGTAACGTTTTATTTATTTCAAATACTATAATGATCGTGCATGGTTAATATTTAAAAAAATATTTGCAGTGAGTTTATTAAGTAGATTAAATTCTTTGAATAATATTTATTTAGTATGAAGTCTATACTTTATGCGAATATATTGCATACAGACGTTAGTGCCCTCTACTTAATCAGCTCAAGTCCCGTATCGTAATAGGCAACGTGTATTATTGGTGACTATTTCATCATATATAATATTACTGATTTTATCTTCTATGTAGAAAGTAATAGTTATCACCTCAAATTATACAAATACTTGAGCCAAACTTAGGTAATCATTTCATAATTTCTAAAAATCATGGATTTTCCCACTATTCAAGCATTGATTTTAGGAATAAAATTAAGAAGCCATTTTTTTATTAATCAGCTGTTTGACTAAAAACAATTACAGGTAAGCATATCATCCAATCAATAAAATGCTTCATACCTTCTCCAAAATGTTCAGTCTAGCACATAAATGCATTAATGAAAACTTTTAACCAATCATATAACCATGTGAACTATTCGTCCGCCAGCTGTCGCTAGTACTTTCGCTTTGTGCTAAAAGTTATGTATGCATGATCGGCCGGGCGTACGTATAGGAGTATTCGGAATAAATATTTGTTAGAAAATGTGTTCACAATGGAGAAAGTTCAATTGTCAATTGTTCTATTTCGAATAAATCGTATAAAAATAAAAAATTCTCCATCCTGTCTTTGTAGATTATCGGCGTTTGTTTTATCATTTGATTTTTACACGGAAAAGAAAACATCTGTATATGACGATGGATGATGGCTGACTTTCTTGGTCTACAGCAACCGCCGGCAAAAAAATTTCGTTCGGGTACGAATTCAAACGAATCAGGTGCGAGAATAAAAAATGGAATTTTGATTGTCAAAAACTCGAGTTTTTTTTTTGCTCTGAAGATTTTGATTTCAAAATGATTTCACAATACGATGCACCCGATACAAATAATGTCCAAGATTTATTTGATCTTGGAACTGATTTTAATGATACACTTGATCATACTCAACAACAATCGCAACAAACATCTACACCATCAACATTAATACAAACGACAGTACCATCGTCATCAAGTTCAATTTTAAATCACCAATCAACAAATATATATCAACAACAAACACAACCTCGACTTACCTATATACAACAGACACGAGCACCGTTACCATCATATCAGACACCGAATTTACAGCGTATTCAAACGATGCCAGCAACATCGACTATTGTTCGACCGACTAATGTTATATCGAATGGTATACAACAGCAGCCGACTATTTATACTCAGCAACAAATGATTAATTCACCAGGTGGTCTTAATCGGTCATTATATCAACGTATGCCAACCGCAACTCAACAATTAAATATACCATCGACACTGGTACGACAACAATATAATACAACTGGCATGGTTAATATGAATCAAAATGTACCACAAATGAGTATTGTTAAAGTAAGAGAGAAAGAAAACAAATTTCATTTTAGTTTGATCTAAACTTGAACACCAATTTTTTTGTCTCATTTAGGCAAGTGATCCAAATAATAATAATGTATTCGTTACAAATTCTCAACAACAACAACAGTCAACATTACTCGGTTTAACACAAACAGTGACACAAACACCAACAGTTCAAACGAATAAAACCATTACGACAGTTTTACCTTCATTAGCATCACAACAATTAAATCAGTTTCAAAATCAACAACAACAAAATACTGTTCAATCGTATAATTCAACGCCTATGCGAGTATGTTACATGAATCAAAATTTGCTCGTATCTTCTAAACCAATTTTACTTTCCTATGTTGGAATCAATTCTAAGAACTCGTCTTGCTATCAGTTTCAATAGACTTTCAATGACCCTCACGGTGGTATCCCCTTACCGTAATTGTTATTTCTGCAGACGATCAGTCACTAAATAAATCCTCATAATACCATTAGAAGTTATCTCGGGTTTGATTTCAACATAAGAAATTAAAATTAGTTGTGCATCAACTCATCTGTCTCGTAGGATAACACTTTCATTTATTATTATTTTCGATTCAATCTTTCTACTATTATCTCTTAAACTAGCACTAATGCATATATCTAATCGAAATATGATATCTGACAAACATGCTTTTCTATTTTCTTCTAGACACAAATGATGGATCAAACACCAACAAATTATGTAGTAACTGTCCAACAACAACAACAACAATCAACTCAACAAACAACAAATAATTCTCAACAGCATACTGAAATTCAACGAAAACAGTTTATACAAAAACAACTCGTTCTTCTATTACACGCACATAAATGTCAACAACGTGAAAAACAGACAGTTAATGGTGAAACAACACATCCAAGTACTTGTACATTACCACATTGTAGTACTATGAAAAGTGTTCTACAACATATGACAAAATGTAATGATCATAAAACATGTACTATACCACATTGTGTGACATCTCGTCAAATTATTTTACATTGGAAACAATGTAATAATTCTCAATGTCCAATATGTCAACCGCTTAAAACACCTTCGACATTAGCAAAATTAAATCAAACAACGAATTCAAATTCAGCAAGTGTATCATCAACTAATTCAAATACAAACATTTCATTTACGTCGAATGCCAATGTGACAAACGATCGTTCACTAAATAAAGATTGGCAAAGACGTGTCACATCAGAAATGCGAAATCATCTCGTACAAAAAATCATTACAGCACTTATACCTATAACTGATACAGGTGCCGTACGTGATAAACGTATTATTAATTTAGCTAATTATGCACGTCGCGTCGAAAATGATACATTTGAAGTAGCTAGTAATCAAGAAGAATATTTTCATAAGTTAGCTGAAAAAATTTATAAAATTCAAAAAGAATTAGAAGATCGACGAGAGAAAAAACGCTTGCAAGATATGCAATTAGCTGCACAAATATCTTCAACAACAGGACAAACATCATCTACAAATGATTATAATGGTAAAATGCATTCAACCATGGATACAATGGCCGGTGATAATGGTCCACCAAATCGTACAGCACCTATGAGTGATTATGCATCGTCCTTATCGTCACCGTCAACGGGAAATATTCTTCATCAACCATTAACAACAGTAACAAATTCAAATCGAACAACTATAAACGGAGCATCAAATACGACAGCAGGAACATTTACAATAACAAATGTACCACCAAATGAACATTTAAATTTTCTTATTAATCGCGATATAACAATTTCTCAACAAGCGAATGATGTTGATATGTTAGAAACGACTAATCAAATTAAAACTGAATTAATATCACCAAAACCAAAACCACAATTACAAGTATGTTGTATAAATCTATGAGTAAAAGAACAAAAAAATTTTAAAAACTTTTTCTTTTTAGTCATCGACATATGTCATGGTTAAGAAAGAAGAACAAACTCTGCATGATATAGTACATTCAACAGTTACTAACAAACCATCTGAATCAACAACGAATGAAGATATTAAACCAAAACTACCTCAAATTGATTCTACTAGTAAACAACTACCGAAACATCCAGTACAATTTGCAGCTGAAGACTTACGTTCACATCTCGAACCAGTCATACATAAAATGATTGCCTGTGAAGATTCTCATCCATTTCGTCAACCAGTTGATCCAGTTGCACTTAATATACTTGATTATCCAACTATTGTTAAACATCCTATGGACATAGCAACGATGCATAATAAATTATTGCATGGCGAATATAAAAACCCACTACAGTTTTGTGATGATGCTTGGCTAATGTTTAATAATGCTTGGCTTTATAATAAGAAAACTACACGTGTTTATAAAATGTGTACAAAAGTAAGTATAGTTCTCAAAGACTAACTTTTGATCTGCCCGGAATGTTTTTTCACGAGTCCAACAGGGGGCGGGGGGGGGGGG